TTAATTTCTCTCATTTCACTGAGTGATCTTACTCATAAAGGTTGTTTTTTTCTTATAACATTTTCCCCCTTGGGTAAAATTTATTACATTTGTATATTACATATTCATATGTTAAAGATTCAATCAGAAATTAGTAATGACTTAAAAGCTACAACAATAATGTGAGAGAACCTGTGGATACAGCATACAAGCTGTTGAATTTTAAAATAGTCCAGAGGTTTCTAGACACATTCCATTTGGAATTAGCACATGCATTTTTTCTGGTGAAGCATGGCACGGACATTAAGCATCACTGTCCTGAGTGAGACAGACACTTGCAGTGGTTTGCACAATGACTGGTTTACTTTTTTTTTTTTTGGTATCAGGAATCAAACTTAAGACCTCACGTTTGCCAGACAGGTGCTGTGCCACTGCTCTACATTCCTGGCCCGATTTACTTTTTTTTCTGATTTACCTTTTAGAAAATGAAATGATGTTACTCATTTGCCTTCCTGCTTCCTTTTTGTCATGTGATTCTTCTTTTTGATGAATTTTCTAATCTTGAAGCTCTTAAAAAAATTCTAATAAACCAAGAATGTGTAATTATTTTTCTTTTCTTCAGGCAGCGTCTCTCTCTGTAGTTCAGTTGGGCCTTGAACTCACGGTGCTCCTTTTGCCTGTGTCCCGAGTTCTGGATTGCAGGCACCACCATGCCTGGCCTCTTGCATTTTTTTCTGAGCGTCTTGGAGACATTTCTGAACTGTCAATCCCTGGTCACCCTTGCAAACATCTTCAGCAAGTGCAAGGCTAATGCATGTTCTTGTGATTCCATGTTCTTTTGTAAATGTGCATGTTGCAGCTTTCCACATGGTGGTTATTTGGGAAGGAAGGTAGGGATGAACTCATGAGGAGTCAAAACCAAAAAGGAATTTGTGTGGTGAGCACGCAGGTTTTCTAGGGATGGTTGTGTTGGTGCGAAGTCCTCTCACTGGTCATGAACACAGTTGCTGCTATGAAGCTTCTTCCCTGTCCCACCTTCTTGTCTCCCCGACTCCTCCTTCCTACACTCTCTCTCCCTTTCCCTCCTCTTCTTCATTTCTTTTTCTCTCTTTTCCTGTTCTGAGGCAGCTCTCACTGTTTCCCAGCCAGCTTCAAGTCTGAGATCTCCTTGCTCAGCCTGGGTGGGAGCTGCAGGCTGCTCTCCCCTCTGCCTTGTGCCGCGGAGAGACCGGCTGTGTGCTGTGTGCGTGAGGCTCTCTGATGGGGAAGACACTGTTGGCTTTCCGCAGTTAGGACACAATCCTGCATGCCTGGGGGCAGAAACGCTCCCATAGACAACTGAAGACTTGCAGCTCTACATTAGCAACCTGTGGTCCAAAAAGACATTGGTTGAACTTAGAGTATTTTAAAACGTGCTTTAAGGGAGAATTGAGTCATACCAGGAGCTGAGTAGGGATACTGCATGAGAAAGCAGTTGGTGGGTGACGAGACCTGGTATTTCCAAAAATGGGTGTCAGTGACATTCAAGTTGATGTTGACTGCTGATTATTAAGAAGCCTTGGAGTATTGTGGTACGTCTTTCTATTTTCCAAGAGTGCTGGAGGAAGCCATTTTTGCTTGGCCCAAGTCTCTGTTCTCTATCAGATGGGCAGGAAACCTACCAGTGGTGACTCTTCGGATGAGAGACCTGACCACTTGTTCTCCATTTTGGATTCCATATCTACATAGTGGCCCATGAACTGTGAAACAACGTTTGGAAAGGATATTCCAAGCTGTGCAGTGAAATGGTGTGTAGTGTGATATTTAGAAGGACTTCTGTTAGCCTTTCTTTGCACAGGGTGGGGAAGGGCTTCAGACGGGGTCTCACTATATAGTAAACTTGCTTAGGGAGCTCAGGCTAGCCTCAAAGTTACGGAGATCCTCTGCCCTCAGCCTCCCAACTGAGACTGTAGGCTTGTGCACCACCATCCCTAGTTTGTTGGACTTTTGACTGTCAACTTAAATATGCTGCATTTCTTCTAGAATGAAGAGCAGCAATTGTAATTAGGCTGAATTTAAGAGTGCTGTCTCTTAATTTCTGGAATTCAGAATGAGGCTTTTATGGGAGTTCAGATAAATAGGGTGTTAAAGATTTTATTTAATTCATATATTTACTCAGTGTCAGATTTCTTATGTTGGTATATCAACTGACAAATTCAAAATTATAACTTCTCGTTTCTTAGGCACAGGATTTCCTTGGATACAATAGAAGTACAGAGAGTCCTAGCAGAGCCCACAGGCAAACCTGGGGTTTCATGTAACCATTTTTTTGGTGGTGGTGGTACTAGAGATTGAACCCAAGGAATACCATGCTACATTCCCAGCTCTTTCAAATAATTACTATTTTAAGGCAAGCATATTGGCACAGGCCTGTAATCCCAGCATACTAGGAAGCTGAGGCTGGAGGATCACAAATTTGAGCCCAGCTGGACAATTTAGCAACTTATTTAGACCCTGTCTCAAAGGGGGGGGGGCGTGTGCTGGGAATTTATGTCAGTGGGAAAACTCTGGGTTCACTTGCCAGTCCTGCAAAACATGACGACAAAAAAATTACTGTATTTGAGACTCAATACGTTGTTCAGGCTGTCTTTGAATTTACGATCCTGCTACTTTAGCTTCAAGTAGCTGGGATTATAATCATATGCCATCACACCTGAATTATATAGTATAAGCTTTTTTTAAACTATAAAAAAGTTACAAAACTTTGTTAAATATTTAGAAAGTAAAGAAAGGAATAGAAACACCCTACTTGTGCTATCTTAACATATTACTATTTTGGAACACTTTAGCGTTTTTCAATCACGTATTCACAACTTTATTCTTTTCTATTTAACATTTTATTTATTATGTGCTCTTTTCATTGGTATAATAACAGGAACTCTTTCATTTTATTTTAAAAATTGTTTTTTGGTTTTTTTTTTTTTTTTTTTTTTTTTGAAACAGAGTCTCATTATATATTTTAGGCCAGCCTTAAATTCACTAGGGTAGCCCAGGCTGGCCTTGAGTTTGCAGTGAGCATCCTGCCTCAGCCTCCCAAGTTCTGGGATTATACTCAGGTGTCACCACACCTGACTCTTTCCTTAACATTAACGAGAACTTCCAAAAACAGTGGTGAGATTCTGTCTCAGCCTCCCTGAGTATCAGTATTTGACAATCTGATACTCATCTTTGGAATGTTTCTTGGAGTGTTTTGAAGCAGATTCTGGATATCCTATTATATGACTTGTAAATAAATCTAAGTGTGTATCTACAAAAGATAGTCATTTGAAGCCAGGGATGATAGCCCATACCTTTAATCTCAGCACTCAGGAGGCTGAGACAGCAAGATTACCCCAAATTTGAGGCCAGTTGGGCTCATACATAGTGAGTTCAAGGCCAGCCTGAATTACACAGCAAGACCTTGTCTCAAAAAACAAAAAATGAAAAAGGTCATTTTAAAAACACAATACCATTACAACTTAAATACCAAATAACTTAAAAGGAAAAAAAAAAAACCTAAAAAGAATTAGTACCATTAATACCATCTGGTCAGTTCCAACAGTAAACTTTTAAGGCTCAATAAAGTTCTGAAATGAGTAGGCCCTATTCTGCATAATCATTCCATTATTATAGGACATTAAGTTGTTCACACTTTCATGTGATTATAAATAATGCTGCGATGAACAACTTCATACTGATGACTTTTTCTCTAGTTGGTTCATTTTCTTAGGGAATTGAATTATAGTACAAAAAGTCACATGGTGTTCTATGAAGGACCTCTTAGTTCAGGGTGAAAATCTTCCAGCCCCTTAGAAGCCTTAGGAGCTTTAACAAAAAGGGGCTCATTGCCCTCCTGCTTAGATAGTGTTGCTGGCTTTCATTGTAGCTGGCCCTGCAGGGAACTCTGGCCGCTTCTGTCTTTGAACCTAAAGTGAGAAACACTGTTATTTTGAGACAGAGGACAAGAAACCTTGGTTCTTTGTTTTCACTTTTTTTTTGTACTGGGAATTGAACTCACAACCTCATGCTTGCCAGACAGGTGCTGTGCCCCTGAATTATATCCCTGGCCCTTTGTTTTTACTGTTTTTAAAAGGTAAATTTGAAACGAATAGAAAACATTAAGACAATCATTAAATTGAGGGTTTAGCTTTATTCTTGTTGTATTAAACTGAGGGTTCTGAATCTGGATAGCTGATGGGAAAGTGACAGGCCTGGGATGTAGCTCAGAGGTAGAGCACTTGCCTAGTGTATATAAGGCTCTTGGTTCAAGCCCCAGCCCTGCAGAACAACACAACAAAACGTGCACAGTAAGCGGTATATGAGGAATTGGTCACCGTTGATGGTGCTAGTGTCATGCGGGAGCAGGGTAGTGATACAGCATGAAAAGCATGGACTTCACAGTCAGACCTGGGTTCGCCCTCCATCCCGCTCTAATGGCACTGGCCACAGTGATAATGTAAATCATTACAATTTATTGAGCATACTGTGTACCAGAGATTTATGTCATCTCAGTTAATTGTCATGACAACTCTGCAAGATCAGCACATTGTCTTCATTTCCCTGACAAAGGGAACCTACAGCAGAGCTGGACCTGCCCCAGTAGCATGGCACTTTCTCCGGCCATTCTCCCATGACTGTCCGGATCCTCTCCCTAAGCTGTGGGTGGAATGCTAGGTTCCCTTAGGGAAAGATTTGCGGAAAGCCCTGCTTTCAGATCACCCATCATTCAGGTTTGCGGAAAACCCTGCGCTCAGATCATCCACCGTTCTGTCCCTCCTTACTCTTCCATTGCTACACTTTGGACTGTGCATGAGTTCAGTGTGTAGCATGGGGTTTACGTTGGGGAGAGAAAGAATGCTTTCAAGCTTGTGAAAGTACTTCATCTCTTCATTACTGATTTCTTTCTTCCCAAAGTTTTCAAGGTTAGGCATGAAGGCAGGGCATATGGCTCTTTAGCTCCTCTATCCATTATCTTTTTTTCTCCTCCTTTTGCTTTTTTTCAGAGTTTGAATTCTTATGCAAATGGAGCGTATGGTTCACCGTATCCTCCGGGTCCAGGGGCAAATACTGCCTCCTACTCGGGGGCTTATTATGCACCGAGCTACAGTCAGACCAGTTATTCCACCGACGTTCCGGGCGCTTACCGTGCAGTGGGCAGCAGTCCAAGCCCGGTCTCTCGGTGGGTGTATCCACAGCAGGACTGTCCGAATGAAGCCCCACCACTCAGGACACAGGTGCCAGGATATCCTGCTTCACAGGTGAGTAGGTTTCTGGGGGGGGGGGGATTCAGAGCCTTTGCCTCTTGAATTGTAAACAGTGGAGCTATGTTTGTTTATACCAGTGCTATGCTTTAGGTGTTCAGAGATGTTTCTTCAGCAGTGGAGGCAAGGACAACTTTTGTTGTTGTTGTTTTGAGACAGGGTCTCGCTATGTGTAGCTCAGGCTTGCCTTGAACTCACTATGTATCCAGGCTGGTCTCAAACTTGCAGGGATCCTCCTGGTTCAGCATCCTGAGTGCTAGGATTACAGGTGTGTGCCACCACTCATGACTGGCTGGCAGGGACAGCTTTTATATTGATACTTTTTGTTGCATCTATTCCAGTAACTGTATTTTGGCTGAAGACATTTTACAGATGTCAGAATTGTAAAGTTTTTAAAATAAAATGAACCTTTTAAAGTTGTTAGATTTATGTTTTTAAGTATTCTGTGAATGGAACCATGTTTATTTCTCTGTTCATTTCAAGAAGAGTTCTAAGATGTCTTTATTTTTGCTTTCTTGTAGTATGTGGGCCATCAGTGGGACTCTTCTGTGTGTGCCATCTATTGAATTTGTACACTTTGCTCCCCCGAGTTTGTCATCAAATCTGAGCCTGGTTATCTTTGGAACCAGGTTTCTTCAGACATGGAGAAGTTATTTTACTGGCATCTCAGACCTTGCCTGTCCTAGAATGATGTCATTCCTTCTTTAAGCTTGGAAGCAGTGACAAGCTATTTCTTCCTCTTGATTTAGAACCCTGGAGTGACAGTGCCCCATTACCCCTATGGGGACAGTAATCGCAGTGTTCCACAGTCAGGAGCAACTGGACGACCCCAGGAGGACGCCTGGGCTGCTGCTGGCACTTACGGGATGGACACCCATTATCCCTGGCCTTCCGCCGCGCCTTCAGCACCGCCGGGGAGTCTCTACCTGACCGAAAGTACTTCGCCGTGGCCCAGCAGTGGCTCTCCTCAGCTACCTCCTTCACCTCCACCCCAGCAGCCCAAGGCAGGTGATGCTGTCATTCCTTTCGTGCTGCGAGTTAGAAAGCACAGGATGGAACTTCTCTGCACTGGTCTATGTAAAATGGGGCTAGCTGTGAAAAGTTGGTGATTATTACCTATCGCTTTATCTCAGCCTTATTCTACCTCCCTTTCCCCCATGCTCACACTTTATTTTTAGGAAATGTTTCAAATTCACATCTGTATTATTTGTTTTAAAACAAGATTTTACTGTGTAGTTCAGGCTGGCCTTGAACTCACTGTATTTTCATTGTGTGGCCTAAGTTGCCTTCGAAGTTGTGGTAATCCTCCTGCCTCAGCTTCCTGAGTGCTAAGATTACAGGTGTGTGCCAACACATCTGGCTTACATTCTTTTTTTTTTTTTTAACAGACAGAAACATGCTTTTTCTGTTTTCTGTGATACAGTTTGACTATTAAATACAATCAAAGACTGTATTTTACTACCTCTATTTGTAGACAGAAGACAAAATCCATGTGTAATATTGACAGTATCAGCATATACATTCTAATTTTAAATTAAACCGCAGGCTCAGACATCAACTGCTACGAGTTGCGCTCCTTCTCCTGGTCTGTCGGAAGGGTTTGACTGGTAGGAGAAGAGTGCTTGACTCTTACCCTCAAAGTCGCTGGCTGGATTGTGAGGCGGTAGACAGATTGTGAGGTGTTCATGATGCCGACCTGCCTCGGGGCAGGTGGCAGCCATTGTTGGAATTCTCTGCCTTTTCCATGACAGGAGACTCCTGTCGGGTTCCCTCAGGTAACTGAAGAGGGAGTCCGGGTTTATCGGTGAGGAATCTGATTTTCACACGTCCTCCTGGTCAGGGGAAGGATGTGGACTCACAGATGTGATGTTGGTGGATTCTCACTTAAACTGCCCCCACTCTTTTCTCTTCTGTTCCCAGGATGCCTCCTATACCTACAGCCTGTCTGATCAAGGCATGAGCCGGCACAGCTTTGGGTGCAGTGTCCATCAGTACGAGTCCGGAGGCACCGTGAATAGCAACCACTCGGAGCCTTTGGAGTCCCAGGTGCAGTACAGCGCGGAGCCCCAGCTCTACGGCAGCACCGCCAGTGAGCAGCCCTGCAGCCCAGAGCGGCAGGATCACCTCCCTGAAGAGCGTTTGCCTCCCAGTGAAAGTACTCCTCCAAGCATTAAAAAAATCGTACATGTACTGGAGAAGGTCCAGTATCTTGAGCAAGAGGTAGAAGAGTTTGTAGGTAAAAAGACAGACAAAGCATACTGGCTTCTGGAAGAAATGCTAACAAAGGAACTTTTGGAACTAGATTCTGTGGAAACGGGGGGCCAGGCCTCTGTCCGGCAGGCCAGGAAAGAGGCTGTTTGCAAGATCCAAGCCATACTGGAGAAATTAGAAAAAAAAGGATTATGAGAGGATTAGAATGAATTGGAAGCCATTACTTGGCCAAAGAACTCTTTGATTTTGGTTAGTTACAGATGTTTTGAAATGCCTGTTGATGTCAAGAAGCAATACATTCCAACCTTCCTTTGATCTGAAATTTGAAAAACTGGCAAAGAAATAGAAGAACATTTCATTTATGAGTCTTTTCAGTTTTCAGACGAATGAATGTAATAGGAGACTATGGAATTGCCTGTACTGCCAAGTAGACTCACTTCTCAAGGAAGTTTAGATATTTGCAAGCTGCTTCTTATCATCAGGAAGGAAAAATAGTGACAGGTTATTAGGAAGCGAGGAGAGGAAACTGGATATAATCTGAGACAAACATGTTCTGTTTTTGTGAACATATGACTAACTTGTCACATTTTTGTACATTGTGACTGCTTTGAGCTGAGCACTTCATGTGTAAATTACAGCTTAGACTTTAGCCTTCTTTGACCTCTGTTTTGTTTTGTTATTTGCAGTTCACAAATACAGTATTATTCTCTACTTCTTGGTACCATTTTGTAATAATATGTTGAATTATCAAGAGACTGTCTTGGCAATTCTAAATGAATTTGTACCCTTTCACAGCTTGAATATTGTAATGTGTAGTGACTTCCTAAGATAAACTGTCTTTTTTTTTATAGCTAGGGTTAGAATTCTTAGCATTTTTACTTTTCTTCCTCCTTTTTAAAATTAGTATTGGGGAGTAAACCCAGTGCACACTAGGCAAGCTCTTGCCACTGAGCTACATCCCCTGGCTCTTTTTATTTTTGAGTTAGGGTCTTGCTGAGTTGCCCAGGTTGGCTTCTAACTTGAAGTTCTCCTGCCTCAGCCTCCCAAGTAGCTGAGATAAAGGCATGTACCACCATGCCTGGTTAGCCTTTCTACTTTTCATAGCACATAAAAGGCACATTTGGAAATAGCATTGACATAGAAATGTCAGTGTATTTTGATAAAGATACACTTTTAAATTACCTTTATTTTTTTTAACAAAATATTACTATTGCTGCTTCTATAGATAATCTTAGGGTATAGATTGAAAACAAATGCTGCAGTGAGAGAAATGACTGCAAAAAGTAATAAATATGATCATTTGATGATACTGTTCTCCCTTTCAGCTGTTAGTTTCATCAGTGAAGATCCTATGGGCAGATTTCAGCTCAGTTTATACTTAAAAATGAGTACAGTAGGAGATTCATGCTCAGGGAATGAATCAGCCATAGCTAGAGTGGGAAATTATTTTCTTCTTTTAAAGGTAGATTTGATGTTTACTTTGTAGAGTAAATTTCATAGACAGAATTGCCTGTTTCATAAAAAGATGCTAATTGCTATTAATAATAGTCATTTTTGAGCCAAATTTCAGAAAAGGATATTGAAGAGTCTCAGATGGCATCACTTGGGTAATGCTATTCCATCATACAGAGAAGACTTAGGAAAAGCACTTACCTTTTACATCTAAAGTGGGCTCAGATCTATACTGTCTGCTTTCAGAAAAACAGCTGTTTCTTAATAAGATACCCAAGTGATAATTTTTCTTTCACCTAGGTGCCAGGCCTCTTGGCTATACTAAATCTATTAGTCCTCTCCTCTATTCAAAATAGAACCAAACCAGTAAAAACATATTAGATGATGAGAAGAAATGTAAGAATGTTGATTGGATCTTATGCTTGGGAGGTGGTTTTGGTTTTTTTTTTAGATGGGGTCTCGCTATATAGTTCAAGTTGGCCTTGAACTCACTATGGAGCCCAGGCTGGTTTCAAACTCAATCTTTCTGCCTCAGTCTCTTGATTGCTGGAATTATAGGGGGATAAGTGAATTTTGCTGAATAATAGGGTGATAATTTTATTCTAGAATTTTTATTTTTGAGCTCATATAGGAATATTTTTAAGTTTTTCTATGAAAATTAGAAAATTAGACTTCAGGCTGAAACTTTAGAAGAGAGAGAAACTTAAATCTAAGTTACCTATGAGGCCCTTTAAATTACTAAATGCCCAACATGCCAATTTTCATGAAGTCTTGATATATATATAAATATGTATGTACAAATGTATATGTTATGCAAAAACATACATAGATATGTGTATCTTTTTAAAGTTATTTTTAAAGCTTTTAGTATGATTTTAGACTTACAGAAAAGTTGTACAATAGAGTTCCTATATACTCGTCATTGACCTTTTCCTTATGTGCATTTTACATCAGCCTTTGAGCACTCGTTAAATTAAGAAACTGACCTTGCTACAATACAACACTGCTAACTAGAGAGTTAAAAGTAGAGATTTTATTAGGCTTTTTACTAATGTTCCCTTATCGTTGCAGGATCCATTCCAGGGCCTAATCTCGCCTTCCCTTGTCACGTCTCTGGTCTGTGACAGTTTGTCCTAATGGGCTGTATTTCTGGTGTTGTGAAACCAGTCATTATGCTAAGGTGGTGTCTGCTAGGATTCTCTACTATATATCACTGTTCTCCTTTGTAATTAGTAAACATTTGCTAGAAATCCCTTGAGACTATGCAAATGTCCTGTTTCGGCTTCACCCTTTGCCACTTCCTTGTGTACTATCCACTGGCAGACCTTGCTTGTAGCAGCTACTACTGTGATAGTCGATTGGTGATTTTCTCCTTTTCTCATTTCTTCTATATTTAATAACTGGAATTCTGTAAGGGAGAGTCATCACAACTAGGTTTATATTTTTAGTTATAGTAAGATATTCAGGATAGGTACAAATTTAAAATTTAAAGATGTATACTATGTTAAAATGATTCTAAATGCAAGTATCAAAGAACTGAGTTGGTAACCTGTCTCAGAAAATAGAAGGACTTTAAGAAGGAAAATAATATTTATGATTTGTAGAATTGTTTTAACTTTTCACTTGGTGTTGACTTTAGAGTGAAATTTAAAAAAAATTTTTTTTCAAATTTCACATTTGGACTTTGAAAAATTGCCTAAATTTATATTATTTAGGGGGTCATTTTTGTCAAAATCTTAAATAAAGTTACCCAGACCTAGCATGATCAACACAGCTATGTTTTCTTTATAGTAAGCCACAGTTGTCCCAAATACAAACATCAGTATAAACCTTTAAAAGAGTCAGCTGCAGTGGGGCATCTATGGCATGGATTATGCTTGTGTCCATGTACTGGTGCAGAATTCTTTTAATGCTCTAAGAAGTGAGGTTGGAGAGCAGGTCTCCAGCTGATTAATGTAGATAATACTGTTTAAGCATATTTTTTTTAAAAAATTGAATAATATAGATTAATTGGCATTTTAAAAAATATGTTGAGGAAATGTAGAGTTGAGGGCACTTTTTTCTTAAACGTTGTGAGTTTACCATAATTCATGCAAGTTACAAGTAACCAGTCAAGTCTGTGAAAGCAGAATTTTTCTGATTCCCACACTTATTTTTCTTGTTTTGAAGACAACCAGTTTCAAATGTGCAACACATTTAAAAATATATTTTGATATTTTTAAATAGTACAATTACGTTGCTTTTTCTTTACCTATCAATTTTAAGCCTTTTTTTCTGATTTTTTATGTGGCGGATGAGAAATTGGGGTTTATCTCTTGGCCCCTACTACTCACACATCGCAGCCTGCCCTCCTCCTCTTCCCTACGCCTCAGTATGGTTATGTAGTAATCTCTCTGTAAATGTTAACCAGAGCTCTGCCAAGTAATAAACTGTGATTTCATTTCCTGAGTAACTATATTCCTCGTAATTAGTCATTTGTCTTCCTTTTGTTTGCTTAGGTACTTATGACTGATTGGACCACATACCCTCTATTAGCGGTCTGCATCTTCTCTTAAGGTGCTCTGTTACCTGTTGTGTCCACCTCTTTAAGATGTCTATCCTGGAACTTTCTCACAAGAGATCTGGTGTGTTCCTGATGCAGACTGTGACCCTGGAGTTTTTCTTCATGGACACATCATCCTTTATTTTTGGAATGGGGTCTCACTGAGGAGTCCAGGCTGGCCTCAGAATTGTGGCAACGCTCTGGGTTCAGCCTCCCAACTGCTGGGATTCCACACCATCCCTGGTGTGTCTTTGTCCTTTTGAGGCAGGATATCGCTGTGTAGTTAAGACTGTCCTTGGGCACCAGGGGACCCTCATGCATCAGCCTTCTGAGTGCTGGGATCACAAGTGTGTGTCACCTTGTCAGCTTTTTATGTTTCTCTTATTGTATTTTAATTTTTTTTTCCTTTTTTGTAGCATTCTGCGGACTGAAGCCAGGAGCTTTGCACTGAGGCACATCCCTAGTCTCTTTTTTTTTATCTCTTACTTTGAATCAGGATCTTGCTAAATTGCCTAGGCTGGGTGATCCTCCTGCTTCAGCCTTCCAGTGGTAGGATTTGAGGCAAGCACCTCCACCCCGGTGGGGTTTTACCTTTTTTTTTTTTTTTTTTTTTTTGTGGTTGTAGTATCTTACATCTCTGAGGATATTAATGATGATTTTTTGATATTTTGTCTTTCTGTATAATAAATTTCCAAAGTTGCTTCTTTCTTGCATTTAAAGTCTCCATCTTGATCATGTTAGTATTTCTCAGATGTCTGTTCTTAGTTGTGTTTTTTTACAGTGTGATTTAATTGTACTGGAAATTCAAAATTCCTTCCAAAAAATTCTGCTTATTTTTGTCTTTACTTTTTTGTCTCCATAGCTCTTCTCAGTATCCCTTGTGGATCAAACCCAGGGATATTTGCCACATAATCACCTTTTGTTTTTTGAGACAGATTCTTGCTAAGTTTGCCCAGGTTGGCCTGGAACTTATGATCGTCCTACCTCAGCCTCCGAGCGGCTGGATCCCAGGAGTGCGCTGTCACAGTTGGTGGCACTGTTTCACCACCAAGCACACACACACCTGTGCTATGCACACGCCTCACATGCCAGTAACCACTGTATTGCTGACTGTATTTCTATCCCTGATTTACTTGTTCTAATCTTTCATTTGTGTGTGGTTGTAGGGGGGAGAGATAATTAAATTCTAAAATTGAAAAGTGCAGACTAACTGGATATTTTTCCCTTTTATGTGCAACATAAAGTTTCACGCTGTGGAACTTCAGGAGTAGTGGTCATTGATCAAACGTGAGGCAGTTACAGGCCAGAGTCTTGTGACAGTTTACATCCCTCTGGGATCAGGACCGATTTTCTTCAGCCAGTCCTTAAATGTTCTTTCATTTTGCAATTAATTCATGTTGTAGCCAAGATTAGGATTTTCAGATAAAATACAGGATTCCTACCTAAGTCTGAATTTCAGATAATTAATTTTGGTTGTATGACTCAGGCAATATTTGGAACACATACTAAAAGATGATTTCTTGATTACTTGGAATCTAGGTTTAACTTGAGTATTTTTAATTAAAATTTTTATTGTGAGGTAATTTTGATAGAATTACATGTCATTTTGAGAACTTTTACATGCTGGATACGGTGGCACCCATCTGGATTCCAGCATTTAGGAGGCTGAGGCAGGAGTATTACCACGAGTTTGAGGCCAGCCTAGGTTACATGTTAAGTTTAAGTACAGCCTGAATTTAGCAAGACCCTGTCTCAAGGATATTAAAAAAAAAAAAAAAAAGAAAGAAAAAAGAAAAACAAAATAACAGACATCTCATGTACCTTTTACCTAGTTTTTCCCCGTGGTGATATGTGGCAAAACTTTGTTGCCATGTCCTAGCCAAGCTACTGTGACACTGATGCAGTCAAGGTTTGGAACACTTCGTCACCACAAGCAGCCCTCCGTTGACCTTGTGTAGCCACGTGCTTTGCTGACTCCCCTATACTAAACCCTGGGCAAGGTCTATTTTCTAATTTTTGTCATTCCAGGAATGTTATCTAAGTGGGACCATAGAGACCAGCTTTTCTTTTTTTCTCGAGATTAAATTGTTTCCTGTCTCCACAGCTCTTTGCTGTGTACCGGTGGCTGTGCCTCAGTCTGTTAGTCACCTGTTGGAGGGTATCAGAGACACTTCCAGTCTGGGGCTGTCATGAAGAAAGCTGCTGTGTACATTCACACACAGCTTTCTGTACAGACTGCAGTTTCCACGTCTTATGGCGTGTAACACCAAGGAGTGTGGTTCTGGGTCCTGTGTGGCAGGTTTAATTTTTTTAAGTAACCACTAGATTTTTCCAAGTTGTTGGCATCATTTTACATTTTGCACTAGAAGTATGAGTTTGTTTATTGTCTTGTCAGTACTAGACATTGTCACTTTTTAATTTTTAGCCATGCTGGTAGTTATACAGGATTGTCTCATACTGTGTGTGTGTATGATTTTCCTTTGTAATTCTCCTTTTGTAGTTCAGAGTGGCCCTACATGGCCCTACACCCAGGCTGGCCTCAAACTCACCCAGAGATGTTCCTGCCTCAGCCTTCAAACAGTTTATATTTTCTTTTCTTTTTCCTTTTCCTTTTTTTTTTTTTTTTTTTTTTTTTTTTTTGTCTTTTTGAACCTGGGTCTCACTGTGCAGCTTAGGCTGGCCTTGGGCTTACTTTGTAGCCCAGGCTGGTCTTGAACTTGCAACAGTCCTCCTGCTTTAGCCTCCCAAATGCTGGGATTACAGGAGTGCGCCACCGCACCTGGCTTTGTTTACATTTTCTTAATGGTTAATGTCTTAGTTTCTTTCCTGGTTGCTGGGCCAAAATAGTCAACACCTGAAACTTCAAGGAAAAGAGGTTTCTTTTGGCTCACATTTTAGAAGTTTCTGTCCTTGCATGGTTGGTGGTATGAAGGAAGGACTAGGGCAGGGAGAATTCTGATCACCTCCTAGAAGCCAGAAAGCAGAGAGCACTGGGAGGAGCAGGGGAGGCAGATGTGCTAGGCCATACCCCAGGGACATCTCTGTTCCAGCCAGTCGTGCCTCCTCGCAGCACAGTAACATTTCACTGGTGGACTCATCACCCACAGTGTAGCACCCTCGACACCCAGTCTTCTGAGCACACCTGTGATCACACGGGGCTTTGGGGGACATTTAGGTAGAAAGCAAAACAAGTAGTGAAGTAGAACATTTTTGCATGTTCTTATTTGCATATTCATTTTCTGTGAAGTATCGATGTCTTTCCCTATTTTCTGACTGATTTTTTTTTTTTGAGACAAGGTCTCTTAGTTTATCTGATATGCACAGGTAAAAGTAAAGGAGGAAAAAAGGTTTATTTAGTTCACTTAATAAAGATTTCAGTCTATAATCAGTTGTCTCCAAGGCAGAGTGGCAGAGGGGTAGCAGTTCATGGCGGCAGAAGACAAAGCAACAAAAGAGAGAAAGAAAGAGAAGCTTCTTGCAGTTCTTTATATCATATCCAGTCTATTCTGCATTCAGCCACCTTTGAAAAATCCCTATGACTGCATGGGCCTTTAGGGGGACATCTTAGGCACAAGCCATTACATTCCACCCCTGGACCCATCAAGGACTCAAGCATAATCCTTTATGCAAAAACATTTAGTCCATCTCTTAAAGAGTTACCAAAGTCCTAACAGTTTCAGCATTGCTGAAAAGTCCATATCTCAAATCTCTTCTGAGATTTGCACAAACTCTTAGCTGTGAGCTCTGTACAGATGAAAGTTAGATACTTCCAACATTCAGTGGCATAAAATAGACATTTCCATTCTAAAAGTTACAAATGGAGTACAAAGGAATGGGACCCAGGGAAGTCAAATCCCTGTAGTTTCATGTGAAGAATTTGAGGCAATCTGTGGTAAGATGTGAGCACCAAAGCGCTTGGGGGGCCCCACCCCTATGGCACTTTTGGTGGTTGTAGCTCCCACAACTGCTCTCTTAGGCCAGCTTTGCTCCCTCCTTGCAGCTTTCCTCAGATCTATGTTCCTGGCTTCTCCAGACTTCTAGGCTTTCCACCGCATCTTTGGCTTCACATGCACAGCTTCGCACACTGCCCTCTCAGGAGCACATTGCCTGGCCTCCCAGGCTTTCTGATACCTGGGTGGGAGCCTTCCCAATGCCACAGCCCTTCTTTTCTGCATGGACCTAAAACCACTGCCACAAAGATGATGGATGGTCTGCTGCCAGCAGGAACAGCAGCCAGGCTTCCCTCTCTTAGTTGTAGGGATTGATCGCCTGCATTACTGAGCACTCTGAGTCCAGTACTGAGGAACAAATTCTCTAGGCTGCTACCATTCTGGACCATGGTAGCCTAGAGCTTTCTTAAAGCAAAAAACTGTCACTTTTGCAATTTTGAGGCAGCAAAAAGTGGAGTCCTGCAACTTTTCTCCTGTTTCTTAGCAATCAAGCTCTCCTCTGCTCTACCTTTACAGTTGACAGCTTTACTGGAACTTCCTTTCTGGTCAAACTCACAATGTTGTAAGTCCTTCTGCTGGGCTCTTTGCTCTTGATTCTGAACATAAATCTAGCTAAAAAGCCCCCAACAGTAGCTATACCACTGCCTTAATATTAGAGTGCCTTGAAATTTCTTTTACCAAATTAATTAGTCTACCACCCTTAATCTTTAGTCTCAGACAAAGTCTCTGGACATGAGCAAAATGCAGGCAAACTTTCAAGCTACACATTATCTAGAGTTCAACAGCCAGTGCAATCATTTTTCCCAACAGAAACCTCAAGAGTGTGGTCTTTATAGGAAGGATTTTTTTCAGCCTTCTGATCTAAGATCAGAATGTCCCATACAGTACAGCGTAAGTGGTCAAGTTCTGCTTTTTCAGCTGGCATCTCTGAATCTTTCATAATTCTTCCCTTTTTCACAAGCCAGTTCCAAAGGCTCTTGAACCACATGGCCAGGTGATGTCACAGCAACAACCCCACTCCTGGTACCAATTTTTTTTTGGTCACGGATACAAAATACCCAACACCCAAGGTTAAAGGAGAAAAGGTTTATTTAACTCCCAGTTTGTAGAAGTCCATATTTGACTAGCTCCAAGGTAGGTTGGCTTGGTAGTGAACATCATGCTGGGCAGAAGGTCGCAAAGCAACAAGAGGGAGGCAGGTCACTCCTGCAGGCTATCTAGACTGCAGGGGCGGGGCAGCCAAATCAGTCGGTGGGATAGGTTAGCAATCACACTTCTTTTAAATCAGTACTGGGGACCTGAACTCACAGCCGCCTGCTTGCAAGGCAGGTGCTTATATGCCGCTGAGCAAACCCCCAGCCCCTAGCAATCACACTCTTAACCCCGGCATCACACAATGTAGATTCAGCCACCTCTGAAAAAGCCTAAGGCTGTCTGAGGCTTTGGGGAGACATCTAGACAAAACCGTAACAGTCTTGCTGTGTAGTCAAGGCTGGCCTTGGCTCACCACCTGCGTGCTGGGTACTGTGCCACCATGCCTAGGTCTATTTGGATTATTTTAGCAAACTTTTTTTTTTTTTTTTTTTTTGGTGGGATCTTGCTTGTAGTTCAGGCTGGCTTTGAGTCCCCCTGTGTCAGCTCCTAAGTACTGGATTACAGGGGTGTACCATTACTCCCAGCCTTTAATTTTAGGGTGTTTTAGATCTGCAGAAAAATTGTGATACTACAGAGTTCCTCTCATCTCATTCCCTACACCCTTTCTTTTTTTTCAAATCATTTATTTCAAAGATGAAAAAATTTCAAAACACATCAATTGGAGCAACAATGCCTAACATTTTGTATCCCTAACATTATCTCATTTCTAACATTTCAGTGTAGTTGTTTGTCATAATTGGGGGACCGATACTGATACATTTTTATTAACTAAATCCAAACTTTTTTTTTAAAGGTTTTACCTAATATTTTTTTTTGTACGATTCCTTCCAGGATATTAAATTACCATTGAGTCACCATATCTCCTTAGGGGCATTTTGGTTGGCACAGTTTCTGTCTTTACTTGCTTTAGGTGACCTTGACAGTTTTAAGGAGTACTGGTGCTATATTTTGTGTAATGTCCCTCCCATGGGATTTGTCTGATACTTTTATAATTTTCCGGCTGTGGGTTTCATCCATCGTATTAAGGATATATGCTATGTATGATTATAGTGTTGATGTTTTAAGTTGCCTTTCTGAGGTAGTTTGTCAGGTTTACCCACTATATAGTGACTGTTTTTTTACCATTTCATACTGCAAATGACGTGATGGGATTAGTTCCCTGATCAGTCCATCATACATTGAAAATATAGTAGTGAAATAGAAAAGAAAATATAGTGAAGGCCACAAAAAGAAAAGTTATTTAGGAGCCAAAAACTTGAGAAGAATTTACAAGTAAACTTATGTTTTTGTATGTGGCTGTTAGTCTGTAAACAGAATGTGCCATAAAAATTTTTTTTCTCGATTTAAGAAATAACAAAAAAAGTTCTCTAAGCATTCCCTGAACCCCTGACTTATAATTCGGTTAGGAAATTGTAAATTTATTTAATAACCAAAGGACTGAAGTCTTCCAGAAAGTGAACCATTTATGGGAGCTGGGAGATCTGTGACTGAGCATCCACTGTGAAATTCATCCAAACATTGCGGGATTATGTCCCTTCATTTGGAAAAACCAAAAACCTGGTCTCCTTAGTTTCCAAATCCCACCCCGCGCATGTGTACATCTTCTAGACTATTTTTCTGCCAGGCTCCCAGTCCTAATAAAACGAGGCGAATGAGCCAGAGCTCCGCGGCCCTCGCAGCGCCGAAAGGCGTCCATCCGCAGCGCAGACGCGGGGTCCGCGCCCGGAGCTGCGGCGGCGGAGCCGGGCCCAGAGGCCTTGTTCCCCTTCGAAGGGTGCGCGTGAGCGCGTGGCGGCCCAGAGACCCGGTCTTCCCTGAACCTGCCGTGCCCCTGTCAGCCATCGCTTGTGCGACTTCCGGCGCAGCTGCACCTCAGGCCTACAGCGACACCGCCCACGAACTCGGGACCGCGGCGCAACGCGCGCCGCAGGAGAAGCTAGGTCTCGCGCTACCGCCGCCTCCTCTCGCGATACTTCCCGCGGGACCCTGCCGGCCTCCTTGCCCCACCCCGACTGGCACGCGGCGCTCCAGGCTACCTCGCGGGTCCACTCGCGCCCTGCCCGCTGGGGGCAGAGGGCCGGGCCCCGCCCCGCCGGGAACGCAGGGCGGAAGGCCGGCGCGGGGACAAGGGGCTGCTCCTTGGCTGGCGCAGATGCGCGGCGGGCGGCAGGGTTGTCAGGTGAGCCCGCTCTGCGCGCAGGGCCGGGAGGGCGCCGCCGAGCGGGGAGGCCCTGGCCCGCGGCGCAGGAGGGTGGCGGAGCCTGGGGCGCCCCAGGAGAAGGGGCGGGGCGGGCCGGGGTCCCGGGAGGCGCGCAGGGTGCGGCACCCCCAATCCCCGGCCGCGCTGCGCATCCAGTCTCCGGAGGAGCGTCGGGGGCGCGCGGTCCGCAGGGTGCCGGGTCCACCAGGCTGGGGCTTCGTGTGAGTCGGCGCAGCCTCTAATGAAGCAGGCTTCAGAGGTCAATCAGAATGATTGACCCTTAACGGAATAGTGATTTTAAGATTTCATTTGCCAAGCAAATGTTTAATAATAAAGGACTACTTAGACCTTAAAACGTAGGTGTCGTTAGGAACTGATTAGGGTCAATTTTCTGTCTTTGACACTAGATTCACATTGGAAGTAAGAGTAAAATATTTTGTTGCAATCCATTTTTTTTTTGTTGTTGTTGTAATTGTTTTGAGGTACTAGGGACTGAACCTGGTACCTTTGCACTGGTATATAACAAGCCTTTTAAGAAATTATTATTTTTTAATTTTGAGACGGTGTCCCTAAGTCGCTGAGTTGCCCAGGCTGGGCTCCAGTTTGGAATTCCCCTGCCTCAGCCTTCCACAGTGCTGAGATTGTAGGCATTCCCCAGCATATCTGACCTGTAAGCAGTTTTGGGAACGCGTTTCTTGTGATTGTGAGTGTGAAATTTGTGAAATTTGACTAGTAAACCATGCAGTTTTCTAAGAGAACTGTGAGCTCAGTGCAAACTGGTGGAAGTATTTTTCAAAGACCCCCCCCAAGTAATTTGTTATTTTTAATTGTAGTCTTGGGATTTCATTTTTGCAGAAATGTCCTCCTCAAATAATCATTTTTATCAGTTTTTGTGGGTATGCACGTGTGAACAATTGTGCTGCTAATCTAAGGAAAATGGTTTCCTGATGGTCAGATCTTGTCTTTTAGAGAAATGTCATCTGTGACATCACACCAGGAGCAGCTGTCTCAGTCCGATCCATCTCCCTCACCAAGCTCATGTAGTTCTTTTGAGCTAATAGATATGGATGCTGGCAGTTTGTATGAACCAGTTTCTCCACATTGGTTTTATTGTAAGATAATAGATTCGAAGGAGACATGGATTCCATTCAACTCCGAAGATTCACAGCAGCTGGAAGAGGCATATGGCTCTGGTAGGATGAAAATGAATTGAAACAAAGAGTTTCTTCTCTCTCAAAGGACAATGCACACCCTCTCCCCTAAGCCCTGTTTTCTGTGGTACTGGGAACTGCATGCAGAGCTTTGGTGCTGAGCTACCTGGTTCCCAGGATCCACTTTTTAGACAGCATGTCTGAAATTGCTTCATTACTGAGGCTTGATTTAAACTCTTGATCCTCCTGTTTCCCTCACAGAAGCTGGGGTTACAGGCACACAGCACCGTGCCCAGTTGTGTGATAGCTCTGGTAGCGAGTGCTGTTAAGAGATAAATTTTAGGTTTTTCCTCTTAAGCGATTTTTAAAACATAACTCGGAATCATATTTTGGGAGGTTCGTCACGTGATCTGTACTTCCTTCTGCTCCCTGACTCTTACCAGGAGAGGACTGTAATGGGAAAGTGGTGCCCACCGATGGGGGCAGGTACGATGTTCACCTGGGGGAGCGCACGCGGTACGCGGTGTACTGGGAGGAGCAGGTGTCCGAAGTGCGACGTTGCACCTGGTTCTACAAGGGGGACAAAGACAACAGATACGTCCCATACTCAGAGAGCTTCAGCCAAGTATTAGAGGTATCACTCGGATCCCCTTGGACTCAGTGTTTTCATCTTTTTTCCTCTATCATTTAATAATCTTTTCTTTTTGTGACTTATTTTGTGAAACTTGCAAAAAAAGTTTGTCTGCCTACATCATACTCTATAACATATTTTTGCAAGTTAGTTTCAGGAATAAAGTGTAAAGTAATTTCAGATGTCAAAGTATTATGAAAGGGCTGGGGATTTAGCTAAGTGGCATAAGCACCTGCCTGGCAAGTGTGTGGTCATGAGTTCAATCCCTGGTACCAAAAATAAATAAATAAATAAAGTATTAGGGAAGCCAGGCATAGTGGCACATGCCTGTAATCCTAGCACTGGGGGAGCCTGAGGCAGGAGGATTGCTGTGGGCTATGTAGTGAGTTAAGAGCCAGGCTGAACTACATAGTGAGACCCTGTCTCAAAACTTCAACCAAACAAACACAAATAAAATACATAGAAACTGTCTTATGCTCTTTAATTAAAATTTTCCTGATGGGAATTACAGTGGTGCCTCAGTTCATGTATTTAATTCGTTCCAGGATTTGGAAAAGGTGATGTTTGTGTTTGTGCAGGAAAGAAGGCTGCAGTTGTATTTGTTATCTGATGCGGAGTTTGCAAACAGAAGTGTTTGGGAACCGAGGTACCACTGTGTTAGCTAGCACGTGGGCCCCAGGACTGGCCTTTTTGATACTTATTTTCTTTAAATTGGAGAACATTAACATGACTGACATATGAAAGATGAGCAGTAGTAATCTGGTCTAGGGGGTGGAACTAGAGTGATGTTTTTCTTTGTCCTGTGCTGTTACTTGTAATTTTAAGAGAATTTGAAAATAAACCGGAGAATTACATTGTTACTGAAACTCATTAATCCGGTAATGTTCTTGCTATAACTTCAGTTTAAGGGAAAAGCTATTAGAAAAGTCTAATGAAACGTGTTTTCTTTTAAGAAAACTTACATGCTTGCTGTGACTCTGGATGAGTGGAAAAAGAAACTGGAGTCTCCCAATAGAGAAATAATTATATTACACAATCCAAAGGTAAAGTGAAGTAATGCATTTCTCTGCTACTGAGCCGAAGGTTAATTGCAGCACTAAGAACTTTAGCTTCTTTTCCCTATGGACTCTGTGTAGAATAAACTTAGGCAATTTTATGTTCTATTCATCACTATAAAAAAAATTTTTTTTTGGTATTGGGGATCAAACTCACAACCCCATACTTGCCAGGCAGGCACTTATGCCGCTGAGCTAAATCTCCAGGCCACTATAAATCTTAAAACTTACACTGCTGCCATTATTTTTGCCCTCAGTTCATACAAAAGAGTTTTCTTAAGAAAAATTATGCCAGTATAGAATTAAGAAAATCACCAGTACATTATGTGAGTGCATCTTTCGTATGTAGGGTATTTTTGAAAGATCTGTTAGTCCAGTAGATTTTCAGGGTTCTTATTTCAAGTTCTTAAGAATTTCATATCAAAAGTGTATATATTGAAAGATATCTTCCTATCTTTCAAAATGTATTATCTAAAAGCCGGGTATGGATCACACATCTGTGATCCTAGCACTCGGGAGGTGGAGGCAGGAGGATTGCTGTGAGTTCAAGGCCAGGCTGGGCTCTAGAGTGAGTTTAGAGCCAGCCTGAATTGTATAGTGAGGCCCTGTCTCAAAAAATGTTTTTCATACATGTTCATAGTATAGAAATGACTGAACCATCACCTCTGTTGTTCTGGTCTTCTGTGTTCAAGCTCATGGTGCATTACCAGCCAATCACAGGGTCTGATGAATGGGGTTCCACACCCTCTGAGCAAGGCCGGCCACGGACAGTGAAGAGGGGGGTGGAGAACATCTCCGTGGACGTCCATGGCGGTAATGTTGATCACTTCGTCTTATGTTTTGTACTTGTTTATTCCTTAAATTGTGATCTTTTTTGTGTATTTGGATTACCTCAAGGCTTACAAATGATCTTTAATTGGGCTTATTCTGAATCAAGATTAGCATCACTTGTAAGAATTTGAGTAGATATGAATATTTAAAGTGATCAAGTATGTATGGTGGGCTTATAGTGGAATGGGTAAAATTTGGTGATACTAATCTGGTGGTTGCTAGGTGTAGCTGAACTAAGTCCTAATTCTAAGAAGTTGAGTCTGCATGCTTGACTGGACATCGCTGATAATTTCCGTTCTTGAAAATTTGCAACTCAGAAACACTATTTTCAGAAGGAGCTTGATTATTCATTGCCACTTGTGACTGTTTAAATATATTTTTTTTTATTTTTATTTTTGGTACTGGGAATTGAACTCACAACCTTGAGCTTGCCAGGCAGGTGCTTAGGCTGCTGAGCTAAATCCCCGGCCCCTGTTAAAATATTTTTAGCTGGATTATAAAATTCCTTTTATCTTACAGAAAAGATGATTTGTCTCTTGGATAAACTCTTAAATTTACTGTAATTTTAATAAAATGCAGGGCCAGTGTGGTGGCCCACAGCTGTGATCCCAGCACTTCTGAGGCTGAGGCAGGAGGATTGCTATGAATTCAAGGCCAGTCTGGGCTACAGAGTGAGTTCAAGGCTAGCCTGAGCTGCATAGTGAGACCCTGTCTCAGAAAGATAGATAAACAGATGAGTTTAAAATTTGAGGCTTTAAAAACATTCCAAGCATTGAAACAGTTGATTAAAAATGGAATCATAGGTATTGATAATCTATCAATGTTGCCTGGACTTGCTAACTGTACTGTGATTAGATCAGAGTTATCCTTAAGGAATACATGCATTTAAAGGTTAGAGAAGTTTAAGATGTATGAAACCTGATCGAATATACAACCTGATTCAGATGGTGCAGAGAAGTAAGTGTGTGTTTACACTGAGGGTGAAGAATGAAATGTGGCAGTTAAAAGTTTAATTTCTAAAATGTATGTGGGAGTTTCTGTACTACTTCTAGTTTTCTGTAAGTTTATAATTATTTCACAATTAAAAGTTAAAAAATTTTAATAAGTTGATTTCTAGGTAAATTAAAAATGAGATAAAATGTTCTTTTACCAAGCAGATAAACATAGGACCATTTTGATTTTTTAAATATTCCATTTGTAGTTTAACTTGCTCATATGTATAACCTGTTCACTACCAGTGATTGAGTTTAGAATACACGATTAATTTCAGGGAATAATCTCTTTTTCTCCTTGTATTTATTTGCAGGAGAACCTTTACAGATCGATCACTTGGTCTTTGTGGTCCACGGGATTGGGCCAGCCTGTGATCTCCGGTTCCGGAGCATTGTGCAGTGCGGTGAGTCTGCAGGCCCTGGGTTACATTGCAGGGTGTTGTTAGTCACTGAGATAAAGGTTAGCTCATCGTCTTAGCTTCCTAATGAGATTTGGAGAGTTGAAGAGGTGACAAGGCAGTAAAGCTGCCCAGCTTAACCTAAAGTGCTAGCAAATTCTTGAGGCTAATAGTTTATATTCTTAGCCAGTAATTCTTAAGTGAATAAGCCCATAATCCCTATAAAATTGTTTTATGATGTAATGGTCTAACTTTTACAAATTTAAAAGGGACTCCAAAGATGACAGAGTGAATAACAGAAAGTACAACCATTTTTTAAATTCATACTGCTGTAAGCCTCTTAATATTATTATTACTGAGGCTCAGGGGTTTGCCTCAGGTGCTTGTGCAGGCATTCTCGTACTGTTATATTCTCAGTCCTTTTTATTTTGAGACAGGGTCCCCCAGATTTGCCCAGGCTGGCCTCAAACCTACTGTTCTCTCACCTCAGCCTCGGGGTAGATGGAATTACAATCCTCAGCAACCTCTTAATATTATAGTTGGAAGATTTAATTCATTAGTGTAACTTGACTTTAAAATGCAGTGTCTTTAAAACTTGATGGTATGCAAGCTGTGTTCTGAGTAGGAGTCTTAAGTCAAGACAAATATTCAGCGCTCAGTTAAAGGAGGAGAGGGTTATTTAACTCCCAGTTCGTATGGAGGTTTCATTTCCTAGTCAGCCGGCTCCAAGGCAGGGTGATTGGTAGAGGGTGCTGCAGAGGAGAAACAGTGCATGGCAGGCACAAGCCAGCAAAAGCAAGCAGCTGGCCGCAGCTTCTTTCTGCCCCTTTTATCAGCTCTGTGCTACCAGGGTTAGTGTGTGGCAAACCAGTCAGTGGACTAATTTAGCAAGCACCACCTTATCCCAGCCTTGCACCCCGAAGATCCAGCCATCTCTGGAAAGCCCAGCTGTGACTGTGTGAGGCTTTGGGGGGGACATCCAGACACAGCCGTGACACTAATGTTTCCAAGCATAAATGGGAATTGATTCTGGAAGGTTAAGATCAGTGTGATAAGAATTTTATTTATGTATTTATTTAATTTTTATTTATTTATTTTTTGTGATAAGAATTTTGAAAAGCAGTGTTAAAATAGGATTCTGATTGCAAGGACTGGACATAGAGCCATCTGATTCTTAAAAGCTGAAACAGCTGTATTAACCAAAGTTCTTATGTTAACTTTTCTTTGATGAAACGTTCTGTATGGTAAAAGGTTTTATAGTAAAAGGACATCTTTTCCCATAGGTCCTCTCAGTTTCTCCTGAACACTGCTTTGCTGTTTTTGAATCAAGTCTTTATGTGTCCTGAGCAAATCTAGTTAATGTGTTGTTATGGTTTGTAGCATGCTTAATTTTCTGTGTTAATTGCTTCATTTTTAATGCATAGGTTAATTTTTTTCCAGTTAATGATTTTCGCAGTGTTTCCTTGAACTTGCTACAGACACATTTTAAGAAAGCTCAAGAGAATCATCAAATTGGAAGAGTAGAATTTCTTCCAGTCAACTGGCATAGTCCTCTTCATTCAACTGGTGTGGATGTGTGAGTAACACCTTATATTCCAGTTGTGAGCTGTGATTGTTTTCTGGTCATCAATGTGCCTGGGGACGTTTCCGCTGTAGCTGACTGCATATTTAAAGTTTCTTAGAGATACTAAGATTAAATGCTACTCAGTGCCTAGTAAAAATGCATGTGTATTTTCTTCAGGTTGCTTCATTATTTACTGTTAAAGCGTCATTATTAAAATACTAAAAACCACCTTTGCTTTCTTCTAGTGTGCAAGCATTTTCATTTTCAGATATCAAAAGCCAACTGTAGTCAGGTGTGGTGGCTGTACCTGTAATCCCAGCACTTGGGAGGCTGAAGCAAGAGGACTGCTACAAGTTTGAGGTCAGCCTGTCCAATATAATGAGTTCAAGGCCGGCCTGCTCTAAGAGTGAGACCTTATCTTATGTCTCAAAAAAAAAATCCAAAACTCCCCCAAAACACCAACCTCTCCTGACAACATACAAAATATTTTATTGCTCCTTTTGTGATAATATTTAAATAATACTTGTCCAGATTTCAAGCAAAGAGAAGAAATCTTCCTTAATGTAGCACTTACAATTTGAAGTACGATTGGTGTACTGACTTTTTAAAGTTACAGCTCTTTAAGGTATAAGGCCTGTAGTTTTGTTTGTAAATTGTATGTGACAGAGAAGGTTGAGGCTGTCCAGCTGCAGGCTCTCCGGACAGAAGTACTCAGGATGTAGTTGCAGAGTGGAGCTGGAGGTTGCTTCCACGTTGGTCTTCTCATTCTGCAGGGGGTGGTGGTGGGATTCCTTGTAGCATGTGATTGGAGCAGGTTCTAGGTGCCAGGCAGTCCAGAGTGGAGCTGCTTTAGTAGATGGACGGTTCGCTTTCTGTAATACCTTAGCCGACACTGAAAGATACTAAGTAGTCATGTAGCTCTCTCTAGATTGCAAAAGCTGCTGGATATTTGAGAAGTATTTCTGATAATCTTTTTTTTTTTGTCTTTTTCATTTTTATCGGTACCGGGGATCGAACTCCCGATGCCTGCTTGCAAGGCAGGTGCTTATGCCGCCGAGCTAAATCCCCAGCCCCCATTTCTGAGAATCTTGAGAAAACTTGACAGGGTTTGATGTAAACTGTGTTTAAAGTGGTCTTTCTTGGTCAGCTGTAAGTTCTGTTTGCCTTTGGAGTCTGGCATTTTTAAAAATCTTTCCCTGCTTTTAAGAAAGCTGCCCTGGGCTGGGAGGCAGCTCAGTGGTAGAGCAGCTATGCAGTGAGGCAAGGCCTGGGCAGGGCGAGACTCGCAGCGCAGCGTCAAGAGCTCCAGGAAGAGCTGCAGAGCTGCAGTCAGCTGTGGCTCTGTCCTTTCTATTTCAGTGCTGGGGATTTGACCTTGCTGCTCCAGACGGATTTGCATCCTCATCCCATACACATAGCTTTTTACTAGGGACTGAGTAGCATGTAATAATGTATCGCTAAGAAACTTCATTTATTTATTTTGTCTTTTTTGAGACGGGGTCTCGGGTCTCGCTATGCAGTTCAGGCTGGCCTTGAGCTCACTTTGTAGCTCAGGCTGGTCTCGAACTCGCAACGATCCTCCCACCTCAGCCTCCTGAGTGCTGGGATTACAGGCATGAGCCACCACGCCCGGCTCTAAGAAACTTTAAATACGCATTCAGCTATAGCAGAAGTGTCCCCAAGCCCTTCGATGCCCAGAAAACCAACACATGCCTTGAGAGACAAGGTCTTGCTAAGTCATTGAGCCGCTTAGGCTAGACTCAGATTGTTAGTCCATCGGTCTCTACCTCCCTGAGTGGTGAGATTATAGGTGTGCACCTGAGTTTGCTTGGCCTGTTAAAAATATATATATATAATTAAATTTATTTTATTTTATTATATATATGTGTGTGAATAACATAAATGTATATAATAAATTTTCATTTACTGCTTATGCAGGTCCAACAAGTCTCAGTACATGGTTGGTTCTGCCCTATTTGTATCTTTTTTTCTTTTTTCTACTATGTTATTTTTGAATCAAATCTCAGACACACTGTCAAAATCATCTGTGCCGGACATGGTAATCCTAGCACTCGGGAGGCTGAGGCGGGTGAATTGTTGCAAGTTTGAGACCAGCCTGGGCTACAAAGTGAGCTCAAAGCCAGCTTGAACTGCACAGCGAGCCCCTGTCCAGCCTAGGTAATGGGTTCAATCCCCAGTACCTCCAAAAAGAAAGGGCCAGGTGTGGTGCCTCACAGTGGTGATCCCAGCACTCCCAGCAGTCAGGAGGCTGAGACAGCCTGGGGCTACATAGTAAGTTCAAGACTAACCTGAACTGTATAGTGAGACCCTGTCTCAAAAAAAAATTGTGTGTGTGCGTGTGTGTGTGTGTGTGTGCGTGTGTGTGTGTGTATCCATAACACAAATAGCACACATAAAAATATACCATCAAGTAAAATAAAAAAAATATATATATATCATCAAATATTTGTCAGTGTTCACATTTTCATCTGTTTAGTAAGTATGATGTTCCCTGTGTGGTGCTGGGGTTGAACCTGTTGGTGCCTTTGGCACCCCCACCGATCCGCACCCTAGCCCTAGCATGATTTTACATCCATGTGCACACGCATTGAAAAATAGGTTGTACTAAAGACTGCAGTGAGATGATAAATCCGCCTCAGTCGCTCAGTGAACTCGGTCTGGTTTTGTTTTGTTTCCGTGGTAGCAGGGATCAAATCCTTTGCACTGAATGCATCCTCAGCCCTTTTGGATTGCTTGGTTTTGAGCAGAGAAGTCACTGTGTTGCCGAGGGTGGGTTCCAACAAGCAGCCCTCCTGCCTCAGCCCCCCAAGTGCTTGGGTTACAGGTGTGCGCCACCACCCCCAGCTGTTATAATTTGTGTACTAAGATGGCTTGTTTTCAGGGCTGTTTGTGAGCTTTGCTGGCTGCTTCTCTTTGGTGTATTCCTGCAGTTTTGCTGTGAAGTGACAATACTCTGCAGCTGAAATTTGCCTCTGTGTTTGCACAGAGAGCTGCATGGCCACTCAGAGGCAGTCATGCGGTGTAGCTGGCTGAATCCAAAGCTTTCCTTCCCTTCCCTTTCCCCTCTTTCTTTCCCCTCTTTCTTTCCCCTCTTTTTCCTTCCCTCCCCTCCCTTCCCTTTCCTTCCCCTTTCCCTCCCCTCCCCCCCCTCCCCCTCTTAACTCTGTCTTTCACAGGGATCTACAGCGGATAACTCTGCCCAGCATCAACCGCCTGAGGCACTTCACCAATGACACCATCCTGGATGTCTTCTTCTACAACAGCCCCACCTACTGCCAGACCATCGTGGACACCGTGGCCTCTGAGATGAACCGGCTCTACACACTCTTTCTGCAGAGGAACCCCAACTTCAAAGGGGGCGTATCCATTGCTGGTCACAGTTTAGGTAACAGATGAATTCTCTAACTGCAGAGGAAGGTCACCTCTGAAGGATACTTGTCTTTGGAGCCTGTGGCCAGTGCTGGACTCTCAGGCCTGGGCTGTCGGGCTGGGAAGGGGTGGGAGGAAGGAGTGGCAGGCTTGGAACACGCCCTGCTCCAGGGATTCATTTCCATGTATCATTGGCTTGTTACTTTTTTGTATAAAAGATAGCAGTTTAGTGCTAATACTTAGAAATTGTCCCTTTTTTCTTCTATTTTACTTATAGGTTCGCTTATATTGTTTGATATCCTAACAAATCAGAAAGATTCTTTGGGGGATATTGACAGTGAAAAGGTAATTTAGATGTGTTCAGATAGGTTCTCTGATTGTACTCCATAGTAAAGACTTTTAGATTTTAGACATTTTGTTTTTAGCTGAGTTTAGTCTCCTACTATGATGTTAAATCTCTGTTCAACAGGCTGGTAATTATGTCATTTTTGAGTGATAGAACCTTCTACAAATAACTGCCGTATTCTAAAATAACCACAGGTATTGTCATTTCCCCTTTAAATATGTACTATTGCTGGGTGTGGTGGCACACACCTGGAATCCCAGCACTTGGGAAGCTGAGGCAGGAGGATCACCAGGAGTTTGAGGTCAGCCTGGGCTACATAGTGAGTTCAAGGCCAGCCCGAACTGCATAGTGAGACCTTGTGGTCAAAAAACAAAAACATACATACTAGTGATCTATTAATAGAATTACAGGCTCATTGAGATAATTAGAATTTGCCATTGAGGCAGTGAAGAATAAAATGGATGCAAATTGATATGATTTACTTAAGTTCTATGTAAAGTAGAAGGAGGATTTGATGTTTAAGCTTCCTTTAGTAAAACCGTGCCCTGTGAACGCCCGTCCCAGAGAGTGTTGGTGTGCTGCTGGTATTTGCTGCCCTGGGTTTTCATTTCTGGGCGGGACCTGGCGTTCTTCCAGAGGGCTCTGGCGTCGCCTGTTGGTTTGGTAGGCCAGGTTTCCCTGATGGGAGCTCAGCAAGCACGTTCCCCCAACCGGTCTCTTGCTCGTTCACCGAAAACGTACTTTTATCCAGTTACAAAACTTGGAAATCAGTCTTCATTTATATTTTGCAAAAGTTCTGAGTTATTTAAAGTTAAGATACATTACTGTGGAAATTTTATATGATAAATCACAGAGTGATATTAATAGAAGAAACTGAATTTTGAGGATGAGCTTTATGATTTCATTTTTAGGATTCACTGAACACCATCATGGGTCATGGAGACTCGGTGACCCTGGAGGAAGATCTGAAGAAACTTCAGCTTTCAGAGTTCTTGACTGTCTTTGAGAAGGAGAAAGTAGATAAGGAAGCTCTGGTAAAAATAATCTGTCAAATCTTTACGCTGAACCATGCTCAGGATTTTTATTTATCTTCATGTTTATGAAGTTGAAATGAGCTGGCCTGTGTGGTGGCACATGCCTGTAACGTTAGCACTCTGGGAGGCTGAGGCAGGAAGATTGTAACTTCCAGACTGGTCTGGGCCATTTGGCAATTTAATGTGACCCTGCCTAGTGTTTACAGCGCAGTGCTAAATTGTCACACACACGAGTTAGGTTTAGGACAAGCGGGAAGGAAAAGTACATGCGCTCTGGGAACGTACAGGGTCTTGCGATGTAGCCCAGGTTGGCCTTACACTGTGGCAGTCCTCCTGCCTCAGCTTCCCAAGTGCTGGGGTTACAGGCGTGTGCTACCACACCCAACAATTTTATTTTGTTTTTAACAATAACATTATTATCTGTATACTGTGACACCGATACTCTAGATTCTTCTTTAGGTTGTTTCATGAATAAAACAAGCTTTTCTTCTCCAGGTTGTCAGTGGTGGTACATTACTAGAAAAGCCCCAAGGGAGAGCTTATTTCTCCTCTTCACAGAGAGCAAGACATTTAATGGATTTTATTTTGCTTAGAAATAAAAGATACTTGATTTTTTTGTACCTAGGCTTTGTGCACAGACAGAGACCTTCAAGAAATGGGGATTCCCTTAGGACCAAGAAAGAAGATAATCAACTATTTCCAGGGCAGAAGAGAGTCGCTGGTATGTGCCTAACGTAGCTCATCTCACGGGACCGAGCAGCGGTTTACCGCGTGGTGGATGTTGCGCCCGCGCCTTCAGTGGGCTCCGCCGTCTCTGCTCCTGGTCATTGGTTTCCTCTGCAAGGGGCTCGGGCAGGTTGCTTAGGCTGCCTCAGACTCTTGGGGGAGGCAGCTCCTGCCAGGCCACCATGTGCAGCCAGCTGGAGACTTTGGGAAGTGGTCTCTCTTTAGACATTAAATACATTCTTTCTGTAGGTTTTTTTGAGACAGAGTCCCATTCTAACTTAGGCTGTTTTTTGTTTGTTTTTGTACTGGGAATTGGACTCAGAGCCTTGTGCTGCTGAGCATTTCAGGCTGGGTTTGAACTCACTGTGGAGCCTGCGTAGGCCTGGTTCGCACAGTGACGTTTTGGGCTCACAGGCCTGTGCCACCCAGCTCAGCTCTTAAATACATTGTCTTTATCCATGTCCTTAAAAATCTTATTAGCATCAGAAGTCTTACCTCCATGTGATTTTTTTGTTTGTTTATTTCCAAGAAAGGGTCTTGTCATGTAGCCAAGGCTGGCCTCGGATGCAAAGTGATCCTGCCACAGCCTCCAGGGCGCCGGGTTGTAGGTGGGCACCGCCATGCCACGCTGTGCTACTCCCCAGGATTCTTACCCTGCTGTGTACTGTTTCCATCTGAAGCACCGGACTCTGGGCCTTTGTACTGAATCGTCCTCTGCCTTCCCCTGCCGGATCCGAGGTGGCGGTCGCCCTGCTCTGGGCTTGTTTTGCAGATGGCTGTTTTGTCCCCAAGGCCCAGAACAGTTACCTGCCTCCTCCTGACCCCAGACCACCTCCAGTAGCCCAGAAGTGCCCTCCTGCCCACTGCACCTCTGCAGTTACCACCAAGTGCTTTTTGTCCCCGGATTTGCCGCTAAAAGGTGGTTCCATGTTGCAGGCTCCGCGATGTGTGGGCTTTCGCGGTGGCCCCTGTAGTTAGCGAGCGTTCTCAGGCGACCCTGTGTGGCTTCTGCGGCTGCTGCAGTGCTGCACCCCTGGGGGACCTCCTGCGCTCACAGCCTCCCACTGCAGGAGTGCAGGGGACTCCTCCACGGTTAGGCCTCCCGACACGCACTTACTGGCCTCAAGCTGCTGCTGCTGCTGGCCACCACGCTTTCCTGAGGCGCTCGGGCGTTGTTTGTTTGTTTATTTTTGTCTTTTTCCTTTTTATCGGTACCGGGGATTGAACTCACGACTGCCTGCTTACAAAGGCAGGCGCTTATGCCGCTGAGCTAAGTCGCCAGCTCCTTGGGGCGTTGTTTTGAGATGGGGTCTTGCCCTGTGGTCCAGGCTGGGCCGCCCGCAGTGGGTTGTGCAGCCCCCACGGCCTCAGCCTGCCGCGGCCTCTGGGCGCGGGGACGCGGCCTAGGCCCACCCGTTGACAGGCAGCCCTTCAGGGTGGGGGAAGCCGTGTGGGGCTCTCAGCGCAGTTCTCCCCTCCAGGACCGGCGTCCAGCACACCGCGAGTCTGCGCCCCACGGCAGGACGGACACTAGAGGGGACGCGTGTCTGGGTGTCAGCATCGGGCAGGTGATCCCATCCACCCCTCCCACCTGGCAGGGGGCGGGGCGGGGGCGGGGCGCCCGTGCGCCTGTGCCAGCGCCCCATGCCCCGCAGGCGTCCGTGAGGTACCCCCGGCTCCGCTACCAGCCGGAGATATTTTTCGCCTTCGGCTCCCCCATCGGGATGTTCCTGACCGTCCGCGGGCTGAAGAGGATCGACCCCAGTTACCGGTTCCCCACGTGCAGGGGCTTCCTCAACATCTATCACCCGGTGAGGCTGCGGCCCCGGGAGGGACCCCCACCCCCCCACCGCACCGTGCCCGGGTGCAGTGCTGCTCTTTCCCGTTGTAGTTTGACCCCGTGGCCTATCGGATCGAACCCATGGTGGTTCCGGGTGTGGAATTTGAGCCGATGCTGATTCCCCATCATAAAGGCAGGAAGCGCATGCACTTAGGCAAGTCTGGGGAGCGCTGGGCCTGGCAGCCACTGGCCGCGTGGGAATGCGGGGGCGGGCACGGGGAGTGGGCGTGGGCGTGGCCCGAGCTCCGCTGGCCTGTGCCTGCAGAACTGAGAGAGGGCCTGAGCAGGATGGGCGCCGACCTGAGGAACAACCTGCTTGGCTCCCTGCGCACGGCCTGGAAGTCGCTGACCAGGGCGCCGCACCCCGCCTTGCAGGCGGCAGAGGCTGCAGAGGAAGCCGCGGCAGAGCCGGAGTCCTGTCCTGAGAAGGCCGCGGGTCAGTGACAGCCCCGGAGCGGGGACAAGCACGTTGCCCGGCCCCTTGCCACTGCCCCTCCCTGCCTTTGGCTGCCCTACCCTGCCCATCCCTGTGGGCTGGCTGCGGGCTCGCTCTGTCCTGTTAGTAGTTAGGAGAAAGTGGCAGAAGGCGCACACGCGGTCGATGTCAGGGTGGCCTCATGGAGGCCTGGAGACCCATGCTGAGCACCCCTGCCTGCCTGCATGTGACCCATTCTCACACACCCAAAGGCACGGCCAGGAGCTGAGCTTCGAAGAGAACGACAGGATGGTGTAGCACGCGAGCGGGCGACTGTAGAGGGTTCAGGGTTCGGGAGGCAGAGGCGGGAGAGCCTCCCCGAGCAGAGCAGGGACCCACACGGCCGCCCAGCGCCCTGACGCTGCTGTCCCTGCATGCGCAGGCGGTGGCGCAGAGGTGGAGGAGGAGGCGCCCACAGAGGGGACGGCGGCAGTGGGGGACACAGCTCCTGTGAGCGTGGGGATGCTCAACCGAGGCCAACGCATTGACTACGTGCTGCAGGAGAAGCCCATCGAGAGTTTCAATGAGTATCTGTTCGCTTTACAGAGTCACCTCTGCTACTGGTAGGTAGCTTCATAGAAACTTGATAAATACAGGGAAAGGGTGGTGGGCCAGTATGAAAAAATCAAAAGCTGAAAGGGCGATAAGTGTAGCTGAGTGCTAGAGTGGCCCCTTAATTTGATCTCTAGTGCTAAACACGCAAACATACACACAAAGTGCTCACTGGTTTAAACATTTTATTTTTACTTTTGTCTTGGGTCTTATTATGTAGCTCAGGCAGGCCCTGAGCTCTTTTTGAAGTCCAGACTGGTCTCAAAAGCACCACAGAGGCTGAGGCAAGGATCCTGCCTCCGCCTTCGAGTGCTAGCCACCACCCCTGGCTCCACGTGACTTTACAGTTGCATAGACTGTAGACTTAATTGATGCCATTTCCGCTACTGAACTTATTATTATTTTTTTTTTTTGGTGATCCCCTGCGCTTGGCAGTTGCAGAACATATTTTAAGAAACCCATTTGAAAAGGTTTATAATGGGTAGATCAGAATTTAGTAAACAGTGTCACACTGGAGTAAAGAGTGTCCACATATTATAATACAATGTAATCAGTGAAGAAACCAAGGTAAATTACACAGCTAGAAAAATAACTGTTTGAATTCTGATAAAGAGGGTAATCAGTCTCAGTAATGTGTGATAAATATAATAGTGGCCACCACAGAAGCACAGTGCAGTTCAGCAAATGCAATCCCATAAGGGACTAAAGTACAGTCTTTAATGCTAGTCTGGGGCCTGGGGATTTAGCTCAGCGGCCTAAGTGTCAGCCTTGCAAGCAGGCAGTCGTGAGTTCGATCCCTGGTACTGATAAAAAGGAGAAAGACAAAAAAAAAGAATGCTACTCTGGCTTTTAAAGAGAGGGTCTCACCATGTAGTGCAGGCTGGCCTTGAATTCACTATGTAGCCTACGCTGGTCTCAAACTTACGTGACTGTCCTGCCTCAGCCTCCCAAATGCTGGCATTACAGGTACATGCTACCACACATGGCTGGCTTTGTACATTTCTGAGCCAATAGTATATTTATATGCTTTGAAACTCAAAGGAATTTTTAAAAAGGCTTTTTAAAAATCTTTTTTGTTCCCTACTGATGGGTTCCCTGTATGTAACTCTGATGTTAAAATTTCCTCCAGAGGGGCCGTGGTGGTGCCTGTCTGAAACCCAGGCCCAAGCCGGCGAAATGCAGGGACTTAGCCTGTCTTGGGGCAGGGACTAGAGTGTGGAGAGGCAGCCCGGGGCCAGTGGGGTCACAGCTGACACTTGTGCGCTCCTGTGTGTCCTAGGCACTGTGCTGGGCCTGGTTCCTTTAGAAATTCTTGTGCCCGTTTTATATAGACTCCCACTTCCTCTGTGCCCCACTTACGACTCTGCCACGTCGGTGATGGACCTTGCTTTCTTCCTGTGCGCAGGGCTCAAGCACTGTGCCTCTTCCCCCACACTTTGCAGGAGCCGGGAGGGGTCCTGCTTGAGCTTGGCTGGGCTCAGCACCCAGGGCCGGCAGGGGGCGCTACCGGCTCCTCTCGTGTAGGCCTGCTGCCTGTGGGCGCCCCCCCATGACCTCTTCACACTGAAATGGTGGCTTTTTATATTGCTTAGTTGGTGATGGAGTTGCCAGTCACTTACCCTGGTTTATCTTCCGACATTGGCTATTGGTTTGGGTAGTTTTTTGTTGCTCTTGTCAGATTCACGGTCATTTTTTGGTTTCTGGGATTTGCATCATGTTTAGGAAGCTCTTCTTTGTTTTCCAAAAGAAATCATGTTTATTGTAATGTTTTTGTTTTATTATTATGTGTAGATCTTAGATTGACTTTAAATTCTCCTAATACAGGATGAGGACAGGTCTAAGGGCATTTTTCCTGTATGACTAGTTTCAACACTAGAAATTTTAGATTCTGATTTTACTGTATTAAATTCCTATAAATACTATGTCAGGTGTGGTGCATACCTGCATTCTAGCATTTGGGAGGCCGAGGTAGGAGGATGGAAAATTTTGAGATCAGTATGGGCAACTTAGCAACTTTATGAGATCCTTTATCAAAATTAAAAAGGAAAAAAAGGAGCTGGTGACAGAGCTTGATGTGAAGGCCCTGGGTCCAATCCTCAGTACAGAAAAAAATTCCTATAAATAATAGAGTCTCGCTAGTGTGGCACATGCCTGTCACCCCAGCACTTGGGATGCTGAGGCAGGAGGATCACCATGAATTTGAGGCCAGCCTGAAAATAAAAAGAGGGACTATTTCTGAACGTGCTGTTCTTTACATTTTAAAGTTCCTAGTTACCACTTTTGATGTTTTGGTAGCAGGAGATCAAACCCATGACCTCATGCCTGCCAAACACACACATGTGCTGCTGAGCCAAATCCCCAGCCCTGTCACAGTGTTGTGTGTGTGTGTGTGTGTCTTTTTATTCTGTTGGTGCATTTTAGATACACAGTGGTAACACTGATCACAGGGAGTTTGTACCTGTGTTGTTTTCTTCTTTTCCCATGCCCCCCTCCAGCCCCTCCTCCTTTACCAAAGGTTGTGTCCATTTTTCCCTTGTCCCTCCTTCTCATTTGAATATTGGGAAATGGGACAAAAATGTTCCAATGCTGTCCTTTACCTTACGCAGTTTTAAATCTAAGCCTGCGCTCCTCCGCTGTGGTGTGGAGCGTAGGGGGGGGGCCGTCCCTGAGCCCAGAGAGACGCTGGCTCCCATGTGGCCTGCGCTCATGCCGAGCGCGGCCTGAGTGCTGCGCGGGTGGAGGCTGCCTTTCCTACCCAAGGCCCTGCCTGAGGCAGTGACTTGCTTGGAGAACCCACTGGTGGGCAGAAGAGGGGGCAGTGGTTGAGAAAGGGGTGGGAGGGAGAGGTCGCTGTCTGATATATACCCTGCGTGTCATTTCTGAGTTCTGAATGATAAGGTTCTGTTGCCTTTCAGAAGGCGAATAGCTTTTAAAATGGAGGTAATGGCCTGGACATTCCTCTGTTAATGTCTCCAAGGTCAACTTGGGGAGGCTGGGGAAGCAGCTCAGTGCACAGGGCTCTGAGTTCGAGCCCCAGCACCACCAGGATAAAGTAAGGTGCCGCACACTGTGATCCCTGCACCCTGGGAGACTGAGGCTGGTGGGTCACGAGTTCAAGCTTAGCCTGGGTAACTTAGTGACTCAAAATTACAAAAACCAAAACAGGCCCCAGTGTCAGTCCCAGTACTACTGAATAAAAAAACTAAAAAACGAAAACAGCAGCTCTGGGTAACAAATCATTCTTAGTTTAGTTTTTTTTTTTTTGTGCTGGGGCTGGGGCTTGAGCCCGGACTCATGGCAGCACTAGCCCTGGCCCTCATGCTCCAGACCCCGGCCAGGCTGCTTCAGCAGACCACCAGTTCCAACACTGCCGCCTTCCCCATAGTGAGCACACGCCTGGCGAGGCACACGCTTGGATGAATGAGCTGGTAAAATGGAGTATCCAGCACAAGTGTTAGTTCTCTTTCCTCAGTGTCAGTCTCTGTTACAGGGAATCTGAAGATACAGTGTTGCTGGTCCTCAAAGAAATCTACCAGACCCAGGGCATCTTCCTGGACCAGCCCTTACAGTAGCAGGTGGCGGCTTGCTGTGCACACCACAGTGCTCACACAGCCCGCCTGTACAGCTGTCCGATGCCTGCTGCCAAAATCCAGGCCAGTCCTCATCTCCCAAGGGCCAGCGGCCTAGTCACACACCTAGAGGAAGGCTTTGTACAGTGACATGTGTTCTCTTCTACCATTTGAACTCAGAACTTTCATAGTTACGTACAGCTGCAGGTTGGCGTGGCACAGTCAGTCCTCAGCCCTTCGTGAGGTGGACCGGAGGCCTCGAGCATCTGTGCGCTGACCTGGCACTTTGGCAGCTGTCGCGCCAGCCTGTATGGCACCCTCCTTCCCCTCTATTCACCCGCAGCTGTACATGCTGCCTGCCACTTCCTTGCCTCCAAAGCCTTGGAAGATGATTTTTGGACTAGGTGGAAAAACCAAAGGAAGACCTTGGAACTTTGGGAGCGCGATGGGTAGTGGGAACTAAACCCAGGTCCTTCATACTGAATCCTATTTCTAGTTCTGTTTCTCAGTTTTGGGGCAGAGTCTCACTGAATAGCTCCGCTTGGGCTTGAATATGCAGCCCTCCTGCCTCAGTCTCCCACAGTGCTGGGACCACAGCCTGCCGTTATCTTTTACCCCTGGCTTCATGTGAACCTTGCCACTCTGAAGAACCAGGATGTGACTGGTCCTTAATTCTGTGATGAGAATAAATCTTTAGAAAATGGATCAAGACTTACAAGGCCTTTGGGGATGCTTTCATTTCCAGAGTTCTCTGACCCCCAAAGGCTTGGAAAGGATCTTCAGGTGATCTTTTTCAAGGCAGCATTTCTGTCCTGCATGCTTAAAAACAGATGAGGTTTATTAAGAGCATCGCTGACTTTCTACAATTGACAGGCTGGCTACGTATCACCAGTGCTGTTGACTGCTCCACGGCTGAGCTCACATTATCATGGCTTCATCCTGTACTCCAGCTGCGGGCCGCAGGGTGGGGAGGTTGATAGAGTTCTCTTAGTCTTTGAATGAGCTTTTGGCCCCCTTCACCATGAGCTACATTCCAATCTGGGTCTGCACTGATCTTTGGTCACCAGCCTTCCCCAGTGCTGGAGTTACAGGTGTGTCTCTGGCCTGCTGAGAGCTTCTGATCTTGGAGTGAGGAATTAGAAATTAAGTTTTTACAGGTTGCTCAATCTGCCAGTAAGAGCTGTTCATGGTGCCTTTTACAAAAGAGAATCAAAGTTACCTAACACTGCACTAGACTGCGTGTTGTGATTTCTCTCTGAAGCCATTTTGTAGGCTAGCAGCGGTGGTGTTCACCTGTCACCCAAGGGGCTGCTGGGGCAGGGAGATCACAGGAGTCCTTGTCTCACAAAATAAAAAGGGGCTGGCAATGCAGCTCAGTGTGGAGGCCCTGCTCCAGCCTGTGGGGTGCATGCTGATATCTAGAAAGCTTACTCCAAACTTCCCTGGCAGGGGCAGTGCTACTGAGCTGGGCCCAGGGCAGCAGGCAGGTATTGCCAGCTTGGCTCAGAGCTGGTGAATGCAGTGTCCCCAGGAGCAGGTGGCTAATGGAAGCCTGGCACTTCCCAAGACACTGCCTGCAGTACTGGTGTTTTCTTTCCTGCTGATGAGCTATTGTCATTGTCTCAGCAGGTCCCTTTACAAGTCCTGCTCCCTCTCAGATTCCATTACCCCTGTTTAGGGCATGGCAGAGGCAGGTGAGAAGTGAGCTAGGTTGTGTCTCTGTATCCTTTTTTTTGGGGGGGGTACCAGGAATTGAACTTGCTAGGTAGGCACTTGTGCCACTGAGCTATATCCTCAGCCCTTTGTAGTTTTGTGTGTGGATGTATCTGTCATCCTTTCCAGAGCAGTGGCATCTCATATTCATGGAAGTCCTTTCAGACAATGAAGAGAAAAGATCGGTGACCGCTGTACCCCCAGGTCAGGGCAGTGGGGTGGGAATGGGTTGTGCCTGGCTTCTCACACCTAGTACGTGTGGACGATGCCGCAGTGAGCCTCGGGTACACAGACTCCTTTATTGCATAAACTGCGTGAAGGTTACTAAAATTGAGTAGCATTTATTATGTAGTATGGAGTAATCCTTTGTCAAGTTGCTATGTTTAATTTTATAATTTGCTCTTCCTATTAGCAGAATAAGTACTATTTAAGAATAAACCTAAAGATAACCAAAGATGGACAGCCCAACCCTGAGAGCTAGCTGAGCCAGCCACTGAGAGGTTTCTGCCAGGCCTGCAAGTGCTCACCTCTAATCTTAGTCCTTGGGAGGCTGAGGCAGGAGAAGCATTGTTGACTGTGAGGTCAGCTTAGGCTACACAGTTCAAGGTCAGGCTTCACTATATAATGCAACCCTGACTCAAAAAACAGCAGAAGCAGTGTTTCTTACCTGGCGGTAAGGGGCATGGACTGTGCAGTGGGCTTGTGTTAGCAGGGCGGGTAGCTTGAGTCAGGGAAACCCTTCAGCTTGCTGCGTGCACTGCTCCCTTGTGTCACACTCGGCCTCTTGCCAGGCTCATTCTGAGCCCCCACATCCTGTGCATATTCCCGGTGAGAGCTAATGCTGCTGATCTCAGTGAGAGGTTGTTTGCATGGGAAGGCGAACAGCACTGACGAGCTTTCTAATATTTTGCACTTTGGAAATGTTTTTTACATGATTATACTTAAAACTTTGGTAAATACTGAAATAAAATTGTACTGACCAGTTGCTTACTTTCACTTGGCCTCATCTATCACAGAAAGAACTAGTATAGGAACTGTTTTTTCCTCCTGTATGTTACTGAAATAAGCTTAGGAAATAAAATTTCAGCTAGAGAACTGGTACTGACGGCAACCCCAGGCGGGACAGGCCCAGGGAGGTCACAGCACACACCTTCTGTTTTATTGACTGGTGGGAAAGAGTGAAGAGAAGCTCGCCTCAGGGGAAGGTGTGAGGCAGGAACAGTGAAAGCACAACCCCGAGAAATGGGAAAGGGGCGGCCTGAGGTCCTGCAAAGGGGCAGCAGGAGTTCATGCCTGTCCCTCGTGGCCTCCCTGTTGGTGGTCTCTCCTGCCTCCACGGCCAGAGCTGAATCTGGGCGAGGAGCACCTGGCATGGAGACAGATGAACAAGAGCAGCCTCCTGCTGGTGGCAATGATCACCTTCTTAGCGGAGTGGAGTGCCACCAGGGGAAGTAAATGCAAGCTGGGATCCCCGTCTAGACGTTAAGATGCGGAGCTTAAGTTTCGTAGTTAACGCCAGCTCAGAGAGTCCCCTGATGGTCAGTGGAGAGCTCTAGGCGCCGGCTGCTCCCGCCTTGCCGATGCAGGCGCAGCTCTTAGACGTCCAAGCAGCCTGAGTCCTGAGGCTGGCCGTGCGCAACGTGAGGTGCGGGCCTATCCCTGCCCCTGTCCCGGAGGGCTCTGTGGCACTGGGCGTCGCTGAGAGGGGGGTAGTACTGCCTATAACACACGTAGGCCAGTGTGGCGCCCAGCATGGCCCCGGCCAGCACGTCTGAAGGGAGAGGTGTGGGAGCTGCACTTAGGCCTGGGATGCCACACCGCCAGCCCTACCGTGCTGCCCTGTGGGAGTTGTCTGGAGCCTGTCCCATGGGGTTGTCACTGTTCCCTGCACCAGACCAGAACCTGAGTTCAGGTGGCCCAAGTTAATTTCTTGGGCAGAATAAAGCCACGAGTCCTACTGCTGTCCGCTGACCTTGCCCCCTTACGAGTCTGCTGTGCCCAGTCTGGGGGGACCTTGGGCTGCACTGTCACACATGTCTCCAGGAGGACTTCTCCCCAGGGCTTCCATACCCTTTCCTGCAGCATTCAGTGCAGAGCCTTGGGCCTTGCTGAGCCTTGGCTTGTGCCTGCGCTCCTGTTTCTGCACAGGAGTTTAGGCGGTGAGGGGTGCCCAGCCCCAGGCTTCCTTCCCTGCCAGCTGCACCGCTTACCTTGCCAGTGGTGCTTGTAGTCACAAGTTCGGGAGAGTGCGATCACAGCGGCAAAGAGCAGAGGTGACAGGAAGGCACAGAGCCGCCAGGCCTCCCCACGGCCCTGCGGCGTGAAGCAGTGCAGCTTTCCCGCCAGGTAGAAGGACGCGAAGGCCAGGCCGGCAAAGGCAACTGGAAGAGGAGAGCGGGAACTGCAGGGCCTTGGCTGTCACCTCCAACCCTCCAGGGTGGCGCATGAGGGCAGAGAAAGGGCCGGGAAACCAAGGCCTTGACTTCGGGACCCGCTGTCCCTGGTATTTGCCAGGGCCCAGAAAGCCACTTTCCTACTACCAGCACGGAGCCCAGGGCCTCGACAAACACTACAGGGGTTCGAGGATGCGCACATCGGAGGTCCCTGGCCCCCGCCCGCCGCAGGAAGCCGCGCGTCTTACAGGACGCGTGTCCGCTGGGGAAGCTCTTCCGGCCCTCGTTCACCACGGCCTCATCCCCGGTGCATGGCAGCCCTGCACGGCCCAGCCCGTCCGGGTAGCAGCGGAAGAAGAAGTCGGGGCGCGGCCTAGGGAACAGCGGTCATCGCGTGGCTCGCTGTCCCCTTAACGCCGGTCACGGGGTTAGGGTAGCCTTGGCCCGGCGCAAACACCGATGCGGGGCCAGAGGCGCACTCACCGTCCCACCATCAGCTTCACCGTGTTGGTGAGGACCCCGTTCAGGGCCAGGGCGAGGCTGGCGGCTGCGAAGCAAGGGCCCCGGAAGCGTGAGCCGGCGCGGCTGGGCCGCTCCCCTCCAGCTCCTCCCGCCAGGCCAGCTCCTTCCGCTCCGGCCACGGGTGAACCGGCGCTCACCCAGGCAGGCCTGCATGCTATCTGCCGCGTCCGCCTTCTTGAGAAGCCTGGCTAGGATGATCAGGGCCAGTGGAGCCAGGCACGCGATGACCTGCAGCAGAGCGCGCAGAGGTGGACGAGGAGACCTGGCCGGCAGGGCCCATGCCCAGGAGCCCGCCCCTGGAGCTCGGGGATCCACGCACAAACATGCGCTTGGCGGGGAAGGCCTCGGCCTCCACGTACGGGTTCCGGTACAGCCACATCTCCTCGGGCTGGATGCGCCGCTCGAAGGCGGGCAGCCGCTCCGTCACCCTGCGGAGAGACGGCGCAAGAGCTTGCGGCAGCGGTACTGGCAGCAGGCCCGCCATCCGCCCGCCCAGGGCCCTGCCCGGCCCTCACAGGAAGGCCGCGAACAGCGCCGCCCGCACGCCCACTTCGGCGCCGAGAGCCGCCGCCACCATCGCCATCTGCCCGCGCCTGCTGACGTGGCCGCAGAGCCCGCCCCGCTGGGCCTGCAGCAGCGCGGGCGGGCAGTCGCCAGGGGCGCTGCGCCTGCGCACCACTCTAGGGTGTCCGGCGCCCCACCAGCCTGGATGGTGACTTCTCGGACCACGCAGCAGGCAGAGGCGGCTCTCCTGGGACCCCTCCCTTAGGAGCACAGAACCGAAAACACACTGTTGGGACATACAGGGCCATTTATTGAAGTCAATCTCAAGTAAAATCTGAAATCAGTGGAATGTCAAAAATCTGTCCAAATTAATCCTCACAGAAGCAAAACAAAAACAAAAACAAAAAAAACCACTTGATTTCCAAAGTATTTGTAAAATAAAAAGGCAACATCTGAGTAAATATAATGTACAAAAACGGTATGTTTCTACCAGCACATGTATCAGTAAGAAGCTTAAATATCACAGGCAATCCTAAGTACACGGTAACTAGTCAACGAGCTATCTATATACAGGTTACCCAAGCTTTGCACGTTCCACACTCTGCAATAGAACATAGGCCAATTAACAAACTCCTCAAAATAGTATATATCTTAAAGTCTATGTGGCAACATCAAGTCATCATACAGTAATGCCCTAGTGGAACTCCCCAGGGAACATGAACGCTACTCCCTTAGTGTCAAGAGCTTCTAGCCAAGTTAGGGAACTCAAGAGACTGACTTCAGTGAACACTGATGCTTCGTTAATAAAGACTCAAGTCTCAAGTGATTTAGGCAAAGTGACATTCCACAGGATCTACAAAGTTGATTACAGGTAAGCAAAGTACGGAAATAACCAATCCACAAAGGTCATCAGCATGAAGAACTTGAGGAAATGAGAGCGGAACCTAGATGTCTGCGTGCACTGTGCAGCATTAAATGGTTCGTCACACCAATCCCAAATATACACACAACTCTGTGTACAAAAAGACGATCTCATTGGCGGGCTGTCATCATCACTTAGCGTCTTATTAGTGGAGCATGATTCTCAACACAGCATGTGACAGCGAAAGACAGACTATGAAGGACAACAGAGTAAATTTTACCTGGTCCACGTCTAAACCAACAGGAAGGTCTTAGGGTTGCCCTGTGGGGGCAACCTGGCTGGGCCGTGCAGCCCGAGCCCACACATGTCAGTGCGTGTGGCCAGGTGGGAAGGGCAGTGGCAGTCATGTCACACAGGAAAATTAAGCGCTGGATTGTGACTCCAGCGACAGCGCCACTTCCCTTTTGCCGGCTTGTGGCCGGTTTCCAGAGCCCATGGAGGACTGGCTGTTAGCCCTCTCCCCAGAGCTGCACCCCAAGTGCACGTTTCTGTCACTTCTGCAACAGATTGCTAAAAGAACCAAAAACTAAAAATGCTTTTGATAAATAAGGGTTTACACAGCATTTCAGAAGTGTAACCTAAGTGCAAACAATTATTCCCTACACACATCTACAGTCAAAGGAAAGGAGAGGGCCTGGGAGGGCTCGACAGGAAAGGCCCACGCCCGCCCAGGAGGCGGCTGTGAGAAGCCTGGATGCCTCAAGGCCTGGACACTGGACATTGTGAGATGCGTGCCTGTGTCCAGAACTGTTTTTAACATAGATGAAAGAGAGTAAGAAATGAGGCTATTTGTTTTAAAAAATAGTACAAAAAACAATGCTTTCTACTTCATACACTGTAAAAACAGGAAACTAAAACAAGAATCTGAAGAGTTTCAAGTACTTAAAAAACCTGAATTCCATGAGGCAGAGGTCTCCATGTTAAAGTGACTACATCGTACCTGTGGTAAACATTATGATCCCCTCCCTCACCCTAAAGGGGTCCCAGTACCCTACCCCCCAAAAGTTGGTAAGATTTCAGTATATACAAAATTTCCAACTTTTCAGTATTCATCAATTCATTGCAAAGCTGTCTGATCACATCTATTCTCATTTGAAAATGGAACTGAGTTCTAATTTTTGTTTACAAAGAACCAGAGACCAAGTCTAGGTGGCCTTGGGCCAAACAGGAAATTGTTTTCCATTTGATCACTTCCTGTCTGCAGGATAGGATGAGGGGTGGCAAGAGGCATTAGGCTGGTAAAAAGGCATTGCAGGTTGCTTGGGGCCACCCCCCAGTGCAGCAGCCTCTGGGCTGCCACTACACCGCCCCACAGAGGTAGAGCATACACCAGCTTGCCAGCTGCGTGAAAGGCCAGCTGAGGAGCTTGCTTTATTACTCCGCTAGCAAATGGCCTGTGGTGGCTGCCCCTTGACTTTATGGTAGAGTTAAAAGAGTTTGTGTTTGAAGATGAAACAGAAGCCCAGGATCCATTCGGACTAGGGGGCATGCTGGCTGCAGAGTGCAGGTGTCGGTTTGACCTGACTGCAACACAACACCCAGAAAACCACCTGGAAGCTGCCCACCAGCCTAGGCCTTCTGAATAGGCTTCCGAGTCAGACACCTGACATCTCCCTGGCATCGCACTCACAAGAGCCTTTTCAAGTGCTATGCCAAGTGGCTCCTCCCTGTCTTGTTTCCAGAAACCTCCCTGGCAGAAGCATAGGGTCTTCAGGCCTCCGTGATTCCAAAACTCGACCTACTCTAAAGCTGAGGCCAGCAGGTGTGAGAATTTAACCAGAGAGGAATCCTGCAAACACAAAAGTGAGAAGCAGCACGCCGCCTGCTTCCCGCCTAGTGCCCCTGCAGGCTGGGCCAGCACCCTGGCACTTCCTTGTGGTAGCTGTGATTCCTTTAGCTCTGGGGACCTAACTGCTGCAGCCCCATGCTAATAGGCCTTCTGTCAGATCCTGGTCATCCTGGGATCTTGATCTCATGCCTGCTTCCTCACCAAAGGATTAACATGAGGTTAACGTTAACCCACAACCACTCTCATCCTATGCTGATTAAAGTTATTTCATTGCTGAACAAGTATAAAAACCAACCACTCAAGCTCTGACCACAGACAGACTTAAAAGTGAACAGACACCCCCATCAGGCTGCAAATGGGAAGCATATCCTTTGGAGTATACTCTTGGTGTGGCACCGGCAACAGCACGCATACACGGTGTACACGGTGCAGCCTCCTGCTTTCACAGCCTTAGCTCTGGCAGCCACCCACAGGGCTGTGGGGACAGCTTGGCATCAGCACGACCAAAGCTGCTTTTCAGACCATTAACACTTTAGAACCACGGTTAGCTATTTTGTATCTTGATTTTTGAAATGACAGAATGATCCTATTATCATTAAAAAAAGGATTAAAAAAGTCTCTGCAGAGCTCTCGTTACAGATATAAAAACAAAATGTGACACAATGAGAAGCGGCATAAAAATACTTAAACCTAAGGGATCTGCAGTTTATAGAATGTACCCTGGCTTACCATATAAAAGTTTTCAGATATTAAATAGCACTAAAGTCCAAAACAAAACAGGAATACAATTTCATGTTAGACATTGTTTCAACAAGAGTTGCATTTAGAATACTAAAGAAAATCTTTGTATTAGTAAGTTTAAAAATCCATACATTTATCATATATCTATATAAAATAAGATCTGAGTATGAGAAAACCTAGATTTTCTTAAATTATTTTTTAAAAGGACATTAAACTATATAACTGCTCGAGAGCAAAGCCCAGCGCGGCTGTGAGCATGTACCCTGGACTCGAGCGCTGGGATGTGGCAGCGTGGAGCGCCTCCACTTTGCTCTTTTTGGATCACATGTAATTAGCAGAATCACTGGATGACCAGGAAGTCACCTTGGAATTAATTGCTGCAATTAGGCAAATGGCAGTTAGAAGCTTAAGTAAAAAGGGATTGTAGTGTTGTTGCTGTTTTTTGCAAGAGAAAATCCAGTATAATTGCACATTTCTATATTTAAAGGGAGAAAGAGAGGCACAACACAGCTTCTTCTTTCCGGAGAATGGCTCTAGATTGTAGAGACGAGACCCACTGCGGAGACCCACTGCCGGTACTGAAGGAGCACAGCAGGACCTCCCTCCTCCCTCCCTTCCTCAGGAATAGAGCACTTCTGACGGAAAATAAATGTGAGCAGGAAGCAGCAACTGTAACTTCATTCAGGCTAACCCTAGGCATCTGCTGACCAGTGTGATGTCCCACGTTACCAGCGCTTCCACGTGAGGAGTACAGGAATTGACTGCTCCTAGGCATGGAGTGAGTTTTGCAGGGTAGCTTCGGGAAGACGTCCAGCAACCATTTGTGCTCACACAGACCTCCCTGGGAGTTTCTCTAAGCGCTTCCCAAGGTGAAGGATGTCTGTGCGGCTTCTATGTCTCGCTCTTAGCTATGAGGACATTTTTAAGTTGTGGAATAGTACTAAATAGGAATTGCTTATGTATAACTTGAAGATGCCCCTGCCATGTTCACTCCACCAACTAAGCTCAGTTTAAAAGATCTATTCCAAGTCTCTCGCACAGTTGTGCTAGGAAACGTGATTGGTCAGCTGACCAAAAAAATGTTTGATAAGACAACAGAAAACTGGGCAGAAAAAGGTGCTCAGGTGACTCCACTTTTGATCTGTGCCTTTTGCCTCCGTTTGCTACCTTTGCTGGTGTCAGGGTAGGCAGAGGGCCCGGCCGTACATTCCCATCTGCGACGCTTGCGCCGGAGCCACTGTATGCGGACAGGGAGCATGCACATCCATTCAATTTCTTCTTCCAGAACAAACAAAACTAAAAAACACATCATATCCTTTTGCAGGTAAAGTTCCTGTAGCACAGAGCCCAACTGGTTAAGACCACACAGTTAATACCAATGTAATACCGGGGGAGAGCTTTTCTCCAAGAGAAAGAGAAGGTTGCCCCGCTGCTGCTCAGCAAAGAGGTATATAAAGGTAATGTACGCTTTTCTAGAGGGCTTCCTCCAGTTCCTACTTAAACACATACCCATACATACACCACTGATTGGGTTACCTGAACTACACTTTTCAAATTCCTAAAAATGAAAATAAATAAAGGAATGATAGCTACTTTATACAACCAAGGAACACATCTTAAACTTTAAACTAATCTCATTAACAAAACCTTTTCTCTTTTGTTCTGATTTTAAAAACGAAGACATTTCTTTTCTCAGCTGCAAAAGCACTGAAGCACAATAAAAGGCAAGAGAAAAAAGTGAGTGGAGTGGGATTTAACCTTCCACAAAAGAAATTCCCAAGTCAGCAAAACAAAATGGGAAGACTGGACCTCATCAATCGCTTCTTCTGCCTGTGTGACTGTCTCCCATCCTTGCTTTAGTAAGGCAGCTCTGATGGCAGAAGCTGCGTGCACTCTGCAATCTTGTGCTCAAAACGCAGTATCCATCGCTGTCTTCATCGCATTTAAACAGAAAGGGGGTCGCCGTGCAGTTATTCCTGTGCCTCTTCCCCACGGTCCTGGGATTCCCATTTACACTTTATCTTGCTCCAGTATTCTGGTGACACGGGACACACAGGGTCATGCTCAGAGCAGCAGAGACGGCCCTCCAGTGCCGAGGCGACCAGAGCCCCCTTCCCGTGATCCTTGCAAAATGAGTGTGGACAGAACTCACAGAAGGAGACGGCCGCACTGCTGCACATGTTGCACTGGTGCCACGGGCACTCCCACTTTCCTAGTGCGGGGAGAGGGAGGGAGGGAGGAAGTGGTCAGTGCGTGGGGCCAGGGTAGCCTGCGCTGCCATACTCTTCTCTGACTGTGAGCTCCAGTGAAATGGACACCTGGAGTGTGCTGTCTCCCACAGACCTGAGCCAACTTGAGCCCAGTGCCACAGGTGCCAGCTATCTGCCTGTGTAACACTCAGTGTGGAACTGACCCTGGCTCCCACACACAAACTCTTACTTTGTACACAGATTTTACTTTTCTTTTCTTTTTTTTTTTTTTCTGAGACAGGATCTCATTATACATTAGCCCAGGCTGGTCTTGAACTTGCAATGATCCTTCCTGCCTCATCCTCCCAAGTGCTGGGGTTACGGGCGTGAGCCACCATGCCGGGTTTTGCATACAGATTTTTCATTGCTTTTTTTTTTTTTTTTTCCTTTTTCTTTTTGAGACATGGTCTTGGTATGCAGTTCAGGCTGGCCTTGAACTTACTATGTACCCCAGATTGTCCTCAAACTAGAGATGATCCTCCTGTCTCAGTTTCCCTGGCAATGGGATTACAGGTATGCACCACTACATCAGGCTTCACTAGCATAAATGCAGCTGCTATTTTTGTCTGATCTGTTCAACACTTATTTCAGGATCTATTAAGGGGAGCAGGATGTATTTATGAGGTATACACAGTGAAGATGCATGAGGAGGGGCTCTTGAAGGTCTTGCTTACCATATGGTGGCTGAGTCAAGTTAAGGCATAGGAGGTGGTATGCTTTGGGACAGTCTTTCTTGTCACACATGACTAGCTCTCCACCATCTCCACATTGAAAACAATAATCTTCATGCATCTGCTTTGGTTCTGTTTTGACTTTTCGTCTTTTCTGCTTTAACTTGGCATTTTTTGCCTTCTCTTCAGCTGTGGCTGCACATGCCGCCTGGCAGGAAGGAAACATATCATTTCAAAATCACAGACAGTGGATGGGGTTTATGCAGAAAAGAAAGTCTCACAATGACTGAAACCTGTCTGCTGTTAGGGTTAGTCCCACAAACACCAGGATGACTTATCCTACAATAGTACTGTACTAAAAACAAGGCTCTGCTTTCAATGAGTTGTAAATAGGATGCTTGTCTATTTTTGTTTCTTAATTGCAAAGGTGGGGATAAATCCAAACAACTTTAATCAGTGATGTTCAGAGAACCTTTGACTATTTTTATCATGTGTCATGTTTTAGTATACTGTTGATTTTTAAGAAAGCTTTGTTAACTTCCTATTTAATCAGAAATTGGGCTTCACTGGAGACTTGGAACATCTACACTCTACTGACAGGCTGCAAGCAAAAGCAGGTGCCCATGTGCTGACCTCCTGAGACGCACATGTGCAAACCCCAGGGTGCGGCGCCCCCACAACGGACCTTGGGCCGCACGCCTAGAAAGCCGCTGCAGTTGTCTGCCCCGCAGTGGCACTCCGTCCTTCCATTGCCCAGACAGTCCAGGTTGTAATTGAATGTCAACTCCATGCCTGAAACATAGGAGACACAATTCTTTGGACTTAGCCGTGAAGAAGAGAAATGCTTGCAACACACTCTGAAGACCAAGAGGCAGGTGACAATTTTGAGGTGATGAAAACAACAAAACCCTGAGGGGGAATCAGGAAAACCATATTCATCAACAGTTATGGAACCCTCATTCTTCCTAGAAGAGTGGTTAAAAACAGTGTAATAGGGATCAAGAATGTGTAAGCCACAAGCAGGAGTAAAAGCTTCTAGTGTAGCCCCTTTTCTTTTCTCTGTTTGAATGTTTTTTGTAATAATTTGCCCAGGGCAGCCTCAAACTTCCGAACCTCCTGCCTCAGCATCTGACAGGGTACAATTCTGCATCTGCTACCATGACTGGCCTAGTTTAGCCTCTTGTCTTACGCTATTTCTTTGAGTTTCTAAATGAGCACATGTCACAGTGTTCTTCTCGGTAACCACTGCCTCATATAATGAACAGGGGGGGATTCAAGATACAGTTTACTACATATAGGAAGACTCAGGATTCAGATAAGGGCCTCTTAAACTTCCTTTTAACTGGGTTTGACCAATTCTGAGTTCTAGAAACATTTCATTTATTAGCTTGTTTTTCAAGTCCAGGCTAGCTTCAAACCCACTGTGATCAAGCTGCCTCAGCCTCCTGAGCCTTAGGATTACAGGCATACACCACCACGTGCTGGTCCTAGAAACATTTTAAATCTATGTCAGCTACACAATTTTTTTCTCATCTACTTTTTTTTTAAAACAAATTTAATGAAGAAAAACTAAGTTTTGCTGTTAAGAATGCTGGATGAGGCAACACTCAGGAGGCTGAGGAAGAGAATCGCTGCTAGCTCAAGGCTAGCCTGAACTACACGGTAAGACCCTGTCTCAACAGACAAAAAACAAAACAAAACTTAACAGAATGCCAAGTGAGCAGGCAGGTGTGGTGGTGCACACATGTATTCCCCACCACTTGCCAGGCCTGAGGCAGGACAACTGAGGATCTGAGGTCAGCCTGGACAGTTTGGTGAGAACCTGTTTCAAAGCAAAACTTTAAACAGGGGTGAGGTATAGGGATGGAGTGGGGGAACTGAATGGGGAAGGAAAAATCAAAATAGCCCCACCTTCTAAGATTTTTTTTATGTATAATTTAAAACAGAATGATATTTCAAAGTAAAAATAAGAAGCCAGCTGATGTCAATACAATCTAGTTACTTTTAATATGTTTTAGAAAAGAAAACAATAGCTAAAACATCTGGTTACACTGCAGACTGCAGTAATTTGGAGAAGTCATGCCCTGGGACCACAGAACTCATCACGCCCTCTCTTACGGAAAGTCTTCCGCTAAGGCTTCCTTTTAGCTTTCTTTGGCAGAGAGCACTCAACTCCAGAAACAATAGTCTTACCTGTGTAAACAGCTGAGCATCCACCCTTGAAGAGTAACTCTTGCCCGAACTCTAACCCGCACCCGACCAGACCCCAAGAGGTTCAGGAAGCACATGGCCTCTGTACCTGCAGGAATATCACAAAGAGCGAAGAGTCCAACTCGAACATCTCCGTTCACCGTCCATTTCTGTGTTTCACAATTTGGATTACAACTGTGGTTCATAAAACGAGAATAATTTCCTTTTGGGCCAGCGTCAATTATTCGGTCCTTCAAGGAGAAAATGAAAGAAAGGTTCCTTTGCCATGCAACAAAAAAAACCTGTTTCAGACACATCCAATTTAGTCCAAGCCTTGAGGCGCCAGTGCCTTGCTGCCAGCTGGCTTCTGACAAAGGCAACTACACATGTGACATGCACTGTGTCATGCACTGAGTTTCCTATTTTATTTATTGAATTTTTAAGTTCAAATAATTAAAATAGAATACAATTTCTTTCTAAGCTTGCTTGTAGAAGAAACTGACATACTACAGAAAACACAACTTCCTTAGTGGGCCTTGTACATTAGTGGGCCCTTGTTTTATGTCCAGGTAATGACACTGGTGTCTTATTGTAAGCCCTTCTTTCCTGCTCGAAGCAGGGAGCAAAACAGTGGGGTGAACAAGTTTAAGCCATCAAGACAGAAGGGAAAATGAGAAACCTCCAAATGAAGACCTGGTGCTTGGCCTCGTGGACAGGCTACTGTGGTGTGGCACAGACTTGCCAGTTGTTAACTGCCCATGCTCACTTACACTGAAGTTCAAAATACTTCAGCCCAGACTTCAGCCGCCTGGACTTGAACTCTTGGTGGTCTGGACGAGCTCCAAGGACTGGGCCTCTCGAGTGTTGCTGCTCTGGTGGGGGTGCCTGCTGGCCAGGCGGGCAGGATTCAAGGAGCTGGACTCCAGTATCATGAACAATGGTGCTTTCACATTCACAAAGTGCGTTTATGAAAACTGTAATGCTTTTGACCAACAGCACATCAATTAAAATTCTTTCAAATTATCTCTCTTTTAATTGTGTGCACTGGGGGATATTCTAGGGATTAAATCCAAGGTCTTGTGTGTTCCGCACATGCTCTCCCATTAAACTACGTCAAGAGTTCTAATGCTTTCCTGACTCTCATATTTGAGACAGTCTAGGATACAAAACATGCGTCTTGTTTCTCCACCCCCCCCCCGCTTTTTTTTTAAAGACAGGGTCTCACTATGTAGTCAAGGCTGGTCTCAAACTTGAAGCAATCCTCCTGTCAGGAAGTGCAGGGATTACAGGTATGCACCACCATGCCAAGCTAGTCATATTTCTTAAAATGGTTAACAAGATACTCAACACATCACTTATGCCTGGACCACAGTTTCCTGTGTTCTATGAGTCAGAGGATGGTTGAAAAAAATTCAGTAAGACAATGAATCTAACCTGTGAATACATACATTATAGGGCTTATAGTTACAATCACAAACTATAAGTTTCACTGTCATTTTTCCTACGACAGCACTCATTTTCCCTGTTTTTTTTTTTTTTTTTTTTTTTTTTTTGTGGTACCAGGAATCAAATTCATGACCTCACACTTGCCAGGTAGGTGCTTATGCTGCTAAGCTAAATCCCCGGCCCACTCCTGCTCGGTTTTTTTTTTTTTTTTATCGGTACTGGGGATCGAACACACGACTGCCTGCTCACAAGGCAGGCGCTTATGCCACTGAGCTAAATCCCCAGCTCCCTCCTGCTCGTTTTTAAAAGGTTTTAATATACCAAATGATTTAGAGTTTTTGCTAAACAGCAATTTAATCACCGCACTGATCTTCTCCTTCAGTGCTAATGGAAGCCCAGATGTTGCGGTGACCAAGGAAAGCGGTGGGAGGCCTGCCCTCTGCTCTCTCTCAAGACTCAAGGCTTCCATGGCGACTCATCTTGTTTTTTTTGTTTTGTTTTTATTTTTTTTTCACCAGTACCAAAGTTTTCATTAAAGGTAGGGAAGGACACAGGCCTGCAGAGCAAGTTCAAGCCAAGTAAAAGCAAGAGAAGAAGTACGTGCGGCCTGCAGCAAGAGAACACAGGGCCACATGAGAGAACATGGTAGCCTCATCCTGTGCTATGTGTCACAGACATTGCCCTGCAGGCAACAAGGAAGCCACTGCAAACCATCATCGTTTGCTTGAAAGCAAATCAAAAGCAACTGAGTTCAACCTAAAACCATGAAACAACCAAAAAACAAACAAACAAAAAAAATCCCTTTTTCTTATCCCAAAAAAAAGGCAATTTTACCTTGGTAACAGTTAACATATAAAAATTAGTTACACTGTTCTCGTGAGCTCGCTTGATTCGAAGTCTGCATTCTTCTTCATCAATTAATTCACCAACATATTCATTTACAAATTCACCCTGCAGAGAAGCATGTAATGTGTAATTGTAAAATCAGTGTATTTTATTAGAAGGCATGCCTTAACATCAGGTACATAATCCAAGATAATGAACAAAAAAGAATTATTTTTTTAGGGGCTGGGGATTTAGCTCAGCGGCATAAGCACCTGCCTTGCAAGCAGGCAGTCATGAGTGCGATCCCTGGTACCGATAAAAAAAATAAAATAAAAATCATTTTTTTTAGTTGACTGATTGAGACATGATCTCCCTGTGTAGCCCAGGTTGCCCCTGAATTCATGGTGACCCTTCTACCTCAACTTCCCAAGTGCTGGGACTACATGCCTAAACTAAAAAGAATTCTGGGCTCAGTGGTATAAGTGCCAGCCTGGCAAGTACAAGGTCCTGAATTTGATTTTCAGTATCAAAAGAAAACAGAATTCTGAGACTCTAACTTGAACCCTAGAAATAAATGGTGGCTATTTATTCATGGGTCCACAAGTGGAAACATGTTTCTTGTGCAAATTCTTGTGCCTCAAAAGCTGCCAATATGCTTGCCTTTCAGCTGACACTCCGCAGCTGTGCCTAGAGCTGTATTAGTACAGATGCTCCTAGCTCATAGCTTTGTATGGGATCACTACTAAGAACTGCAAAACATCAAAATCTGAAGTAAATAAACTCTGCCTTTGCGGCTGAAATTTTTAAAGTAATTAAATAACAGATGTTCACAGTAAGCTAGAAAAGGAGTGCAGAGATCTCTGTACCCTCCATGCAACTTCCTCCAAGAGTAATGTCACTCGGAACAGCAACACAACGTAATGCCAGCTTAAGGACACTGGCACATGGCCTCAGCCCAGCTGCCCCAGGGTACACACAGTGTGCCCATTGTCAGGATGAAGATACAGCAGCACAGCTGCTCCTTCTCCCAGAGCTGCAGAGACCACGCCCGTGCAGCCAACATCCTGCTGGCCTCCTCCACCTAGTGAGCACTGGAAACACCCACCTGGTCCCCACTACACTGACTCGTGGCCTCCGAGACAGGCTGTGAGGGCCACCATACAATATGCAGCCTTTGGAAACTCCCTTTTTCTTGGAGACAGAGTCTAACTATGAAGTCTTGGCAATCCTCTTGAACTCTGGCCTTGTACCTTGGAGCTCCTCCTGTCTCAGCCTCCTGAGTCAGCAGATTAATGGGCATCATGCCCGGCTTGAAACTAAGAGTGGCTTAAAAAAAAAATAAGAAGACAAGACTCTCAGGCTAGTTTCCATCAGATTAATACAAGCTCTGTGTATCAGTGGTTGTTTTCAGTGCTGAGCGGAACTCCTCAGAAAGGATGTACTGCAGTTTAACCACTCTTCCACTAAAGAACATGTGGATGGTTTTCAGATTTGGGCTATTACAAATACAGTTGTAAGACTATTCTGGACAAGTTTTCCTGTGGATATATGTTTATTTTCCTGGAAAAATAAAGGAGAATGATTTGCTTATTGGTTTTGAAAGAAACTGCCAAACTACCATGCAGAGGGTCTTTCTGTTCTCCACTCATGCCCAGGTCCTTACCAGAAGCCAGCACTATAGCAGCATTGCATCTGACACACAGCAAGCACTGCATGACCAGTTCCTGTGTTTTTAGTTACATGTTCACTGGCCTGCATATCTTAAAGTCCCTACTCGGTCAGCCAACACGACGGCGTGACAGCCAGGACCTGTCAGTCTCCCAACACACTTCAGAAAACAGTTAAGTATCTTGGGAAAGAAACACAGGTTTGCTTATTATTTCACCAACTTCTGCCCTATTCCCCTGGTCTCTTACCTCATGCAAAGTCTTACTGGCTCTTAATATGTTTATTTTTTTTGCCAATACCTTTAGATCCAAGGCTCTTAATATTAAACTGCTGGCAGTAAACATCAGTAATCTACAGACTAAAAACATATAAGCCCATGCTCTTAGCAGTGTTTACTGTTTTTTTTTTTTTCCTTTCTTTTTGAGACTGTAGTTGAAGCTGTCCTTGAACTCACTGTGTAGCCCAGGTTGGCTACATAGTGGTCCTCCTCTTTCATCCTCCCAAGGGTTGGGGTCACAAGCATGACCCCCACACTTGACTCCTCCCCATTGTTAAAAGAGGTCATTATTTCTTTAAGAGAAATCAGGGGCGGAGCTAGAAGGACCTACATGCTCCCACCTGTGTCAGACCCTCTTAGGCCATTAGTGCAGGGGTGACAGGGCGAGGACACCAGATGACAATGAGGGCCACAAGCTGTGTCACCTGGGCGTCGGATACCACGAAAGCTCACCAAGCGCTTTCTTGATTTTCACTTCTATGGCAGCAGAGTTCATCTTTCCCCCTTGGCAGTCCCTGCTCACAAAGGACACCTGGTGTTCTGCACCTTCGCAGGCAATGTGCCACAAGTCTCTGCCAGCTTTCTCTCACCCACTGGGGAGCAACCTGCACTGATGGACTCTACACTCCTTCAAGGGACCACCGCCAGACAGTAGAAGACCACATTATTGTCTAGCTGCACTGCCACTTCCTGTTTGTATTTATCTTATGGCAAAAATATGGCAAGTCTTCCCTTTTTTATTATCATAGGTTTGCAATGTTGTACTAAATATGTTCACCTCAAAGAATCAATACATATATGTATCACATTCTGAGGTGGCAAATTTTCTTTAAACTTGAGAGCACAATTTCAATTGAATCACCTCCACTTCATCTTTCTCATACACTGGGAGTCAAAGTAAAATTTCAGTTGAAGAAATAGTTTTGTGGGCCCAAAAGCTTAATAACTACTTAATGTATTATTGCATGGAAATAAGTGAATATAGACAAATTACAGGGCTCAGATCAGATATGAGGAGTGCATGAGGCAAACGACACTACTATAAATAAAGACAAATATTTCAGATGTTCTAAAAGTGACAAAAATCTTCAATTTCAAATAATTGCTCACTGGATTTAATCATTAACTACAAATTAAACTGTGAACAACAACAACAAATTAAGGAACTTTAAAAAAAATGCAGCAGATCTGCCCTAAAAAAACTACAACAAAGGTTGGGGGTGTGGCTCCGTGGTAGAACACTGACTTGCCTAGCCCTCGGTGAGTCTTGGGGTACAAGGCCTAGCACCTAGAACAAGCAACACAAAACAACAAGCCTGCAGTGCAAGCTGGCAACTCAACATCTAGTACTGTTAGTGGTGAAAGATGTACTTAGTGTGTGCGAGGCCCTGGGTTCAACCCCTAAAGAAACTTCTGAAAAGAAACCACCTTGTAACAGGAAGTCAGTCCCTTGTCTGATTTCTGACTCACAAACACCTTTTCAGGAGCTTGCTATGTCTGAAAAGAGGGCTGATTAACTGTGGACACTCAATTTCATATGTGTAGGGGTAAAACCCATGATGCTCTGTGGTTTATTTTTGAGACAGGGTCTCACTCGGTTGCCTAGGCCATGCTTAAACTTACATTCTTCCTACCTCAGTCTCCTGGGTAGCTAGGATTACACACACGTGCTTCTGTATTCAGCTCTTCCTTGGCCTCTTTATGGTAAATGTATCAAAAACCTCTCTTTTTTTTGGTACTGGGAATAGAACTCACAACCTTGCACTTGCCAGGCAGGCGCTGTGCTGCTGAGCTATATCCCTGGCCCCAAAAATCTTTTTTTACTTTGCTGCAAAGTCTTTTGATTATGCTTTTGATTATGACGGAATAATTCTAGTTATTCTGTGAAAAAACAACTGTCTTCATTGACAATTCCTCAAGTGCTAAAAAAACAGAACAATCCAGATTGTATATTTTCTCTTGATTACACTACTTATTTTAGAATGCATTTTAGAATAAATGCAACTACTATTAAATGATAGTAACAAGTAAGGAATGGTGGCTCACACTTTGTAATCCCAGCATGCAAGAGGCTGAGGCAGGAGGATCAATGAGAGTTTCAGACCAGCCTGGGCTACAAAGTGAGCTTAAGGCCAGCCTGAACTGCACAGTGAGACCCTAGCTTAAAAAAAAAAATAAAAATAAAAAAGCCACACTAATTCTGGAAGGAGCACATCAAAATCAAAAAGCCAATTTGCCTTCCTGGTAAGCTGTGCATGCCATGCAGAGGCTGGGAAGAGAGAAGCCAGATCGCCCATCCTGTGAGCTTACTGGCATGCAGGCTGAGAATCAAGAAGGGTCCTCACCCCCTGTAAGCAACTGGCTGGTTTGGAGGACAAGATAAGCTGATAGAAACAGAGGTACAAAAACAACGTAATGCTTTATATTGTTTGATTGACTTTGCAGGCCTGGGGCCAGTGGTTTGAACATCTGTTGGGAGGATAAATGTATACAATATAGCAATTATGGGGGATTTCCTTCTATCTTGTTTTTGAAATCCAATGTTATTCTATTTTGTTCCAATTTATTGTTTTGCTTTATTCAATATTCTGTTCTGACTGGTTTTACTCTGTTTTATTTGATTTTTCTGTGTCTGATGGAATGGACAACTGTTATGGATTAAGAACTGGTGGCCAACTTAATGCCAGCTGGATTACATCAGCATGGCACTGAGTGAAGATGCTCCACCTGAGGAAAGCTGCCAGGATAAACAGGTGGAGAAGAAGGGAGATGTGGAGGGTTGAGGCGTTAAGGAGGCATTGTGGGTTCTCCTACGAGTTGCTGTCTGAGTTGTTGGTTCTCCTGGAGAAGCCTTGGTCCTCACATCGAGCATTGCTTCCTGGCTCCGGAGGGGAAGACATGTGCTGCTTTGTCTCCAGGATGAACTCGTCATGCTGCTTCCTGGCATGTACCCGACTATGCTTGTCGTCAGAGGAGCTCAGGGCCTCCGTGTTGCTGAGGACAGCTGTGGTGCCTTTCAGGATATTCAGGATAGCCCTGGTCTTTGTTGTGAGTGTGACTTCTCAGCTCCAGCGTAGAACCCTTGTCCCACTAGCACAGCTCCTTCATCCCGCTGGCACAGACTTTTTAGCTTCCACCGCTGACCCTTGGGCCTTCCCGGCATGGATCCGTAAAAGAGACTGGCGTGAGTCCTTGTGGGCTCTGGACCTCCAGTTGGACTTGTGGGAGGCATTGTCCTGAGCTCTGGATTTTTATCTGGACTCATGTGGGACATTGCCGTGGGGTTTAGGCTCTTGACTAAATAATCTATGTCTTTGGTGTTACGGATAGATTTCCTGCATTTCCCTGTGTTAACTCCCGGTGACCATTATAAAAATATTATAAACTCCATGTCTTGATCCTAATTATTCTGTGTACAACTCCTAACTACAACAACCATTGTGAAGACAACAAGATATACTGTGGTAGCCATTGTTAATTCCCCATTATCCTACTTCGAAATTCCGTACCACTTTTGCTGCTTTGTTTTTATTGGCTTTATTCTATTTTGTTTGGGTTTTATTATCTTTTAACAGTAATAACAATATTAAACTGGAAGATTTCAGGATGCCATAAATTTTTATATGTTCTCATTTTTTCTACACAAATAATGGCATATGATACACATTACTCTTTATCATGTTGTTGATTTTCTTTGTTTTGTTTTTTTGTTTTTTGGTACCAGGGATTGAACTCAAACCTTAACACTTGCTAGGCAGGCACGGTGCTGCTGAGCTATATCCCAGGCCTTTAGATGCCATAAATTTTGTATGAGTGATATGCATGAAATATAAATTTTTTTTGCATTATGTAACAACATCAGAAATTCACTTGGTGTCTGAGCAGCAACCTAACCCACACATCCAGGCCATCTACAAGTCCTGCTGAATCTACCTTCAACACATTAAAGACCCAGTGCTCACCTGTGGTCCAGTGGCATCAGACCAAGTCATCTCTCACCTCTAGTCTTCCTATCACTCCTCCTCAGAAATCTTGCAGAGTCAGGCCAACATTATCCTCTAAACCTTAGTGTGGTAGACAGATTCTTGAAAGGACCACTGCCATCACACAAGCCCCCACCCATGGGCAGGACCAGTGATTTGCTTCTAATCAACAGGATATGGCCAGGGCAGCGGCAGGGGACAATCTGAGGAAGACACGCCCAGTGTATCCGTTAGTACAGTTCTGGGTGTGTCTGGATGGCTGATGTGCAGAACACAAAAGACCCACATCAGATGTGGGTGGCACCAACCAACAGGCTTACAGCCTGCATGAAATAAAAAGGAGAGAAGAAGGGAGTCTTGATTCTCCTCTTGGAAGGTGCTCTCATCTTTGCTGTCGCCCCCGGTCGCCCCCAGGCTTATGGGAATCTCTGGCTTTTTGATAGGGACTCACAGTGAACTTGGCAGTGAGCTCTAGGTTCTCAGGTTCTGACCGGAAGCTCAGGCTCTCCAGTGCGCAGATGGTCCTTTTGTATCCTTCTACGCGACTGTGGGTGGCCACTGTAAGCCTACCTCATAAATCCATTGCATTTCATTTATATGTTTTACATTAAGACTGTTCCCCAGTGACCCTGAACTGATATGGCATTTACGTTCTTGTTACATGACTTCTTTACATAAGGACTTGGTGTCTGCTCTGCTAGACCTCTCTCCCCTGCTGGCTGTAGGGAAGCAAGTACCTCTACAGAGGACTCTTAATCAATGAAGTTTATCTGAGGTGCGATTATTGGTAATTTAGGGGACCATAGATGGCAAGGAATTAGGGGCAACTCCAGAGGAGGAGAGCAGTGCCCAACTGATGACACTTCCCCACATCCCTCCCCCCCAACCAAATAGCACAAAGAAACACCCTGGGGCTCTTACATCTACAGCTATAAGGAACAGAGATCTGCCAACAACTATGTAAGGAGGAAGTAGATCTATCCCTAGCTGAGCCCCAAGCTGTCCATGAACCCTGCTGGAAATTTTGATTTCAACCCTGGGAGACAGTAAGGAAAGGACCCAGTTAAGTATTACCTGGACCCTTGGCCCACATAAACTGCAAATAATAACTATGTATTACATTTTAAATCACTAACTTTGTTGGGAATACTGTTACACAGCAATAGAAATCTTTATACCTCAGGGCACAGTGGCATGTGATTCTAGCTACTTGGGAGACTGGGGCAGGAGGATCACAAATTCATGGCAGACATGGGAAACTTAGACTCTCAAAAAATGAGAAGGGTGGGGAATGTAGCCTAGTGCTAAGGTGCCCCTGAGTTTGACTTTGCCTAGTACAGTATCTCCCTACATGGAAGGAAAAAAAAAAAAAACAACGAATACATCAAGCCAGACCAAGTCATGCTCTACTAAAAGCCTTTGGGTGTTTCCCAGCCCCCCGCTGACAGGTTGCACACACCCTGCCTCACTCCTTCCCCATTCCCGGCCCACAAGCATGCCTGCTTTTCCTGGGTGCACTGGGCCTTGGCCCTGGCTGTTGTTTTTCTTCCTTCTGGTGCAAAATGCTCTTGCTTTACACGTTCAGGTCAAATGTCGCCTCTTCAGACTGCCCTAAACCCACAATCTAAGATAGCAATCCCTGTTGCTAGCTGTCCCCTTTTACCGATTTTTCCTGCCAGCATTCAGTGGTATTTAACAAATTTCTGTTAACTGTCTCTAGCAGATCTACAAAGGGAAGGGCTTTGTGTCTTGTTCACTATTATTTCTAAAGTGCATAGACAGTCCTTGGCACATAGGAGAAGCGTAAATATGTACTGAATGAATGAATTTCACTCCAAACAACTGACTTCTAGAAGGAGGTGCACAAAAATGGATAACCAACAATGTTCATTATAGAATAAATCTATCTGTATAGAAAATGGTTAAATAAGGCACAGTACATTTTATTATGAACTATAATAAGGTTATTAAGAAGAATAAAGTGAAGGTCAAGTGTAGTGATGCACCCTGTAATACCAACACTCGAGGTTGAGGCAGGAGAATCACTGTGAGCTCAAGGTCAGCCTGCATTACATAGCAAGTTCAAGTCTAGTCTGAACTGCATGGTGAGACCCTATTTCAAAAAACAAAACAAAAGAAAACAAGAAATGCGTATGACATTTTGTTTAAATGGAAAAATAATAATGTGATCATATTTACGCTGAGGAAACCTTGCAAATACAGACTATATGAATATATGTTTATTTTTAGTCTTTTTATTAATACATGTTCATAGTACATAATGATCACATTCCTCATGGGGAGTTGGTTTATGTCATTACGTTCATCACTGAACAGAAAAAGGTCTGAAAGTCTCAGATAAAACCATTAACGATGGCTATTTCTGAGAAAGAGACCAGGAATTATAGAGATGAAGGAGGAATTTTACTCCATTATATTTTTGGTATTGACTTTACTATATTAGAAGGTATTTTAAATTTCAAAGATTATTTCTAAAAAGGCACAGAAATGTCAGAGTAATTTGAATTCCCATGAGGTCTACGTCTCTCAGTGGATCCACCTCCAAATTCCGTGCAGCAGTAAAGGATGAGGGTGGGATTGGGTGGGGACCTGTGTTAAAATGCAGATTATTCCAGGCCTGTGCCAGATCTAATCAGCAGACTGTTTTTAACGAGGATCTCAGAAGGTTCTAGGGAACTCTAAACTCTTGAGAGTCACTCTGTGAATAGGGTTTATTGCTGATAAACAATAAGTCATTTTCCTCTGACTTATTTGCATTTAAATTTTTTTATACTAAGGAGGTTAAGGCAGGAGGATGGCTGTGAGTTCAAGGTCAGCCTGGGTCACAAGTGAGCTTAAGGTCAGCCTGAACTGCCTAGTAAGACCCTGTGTGAAAAAGACTAAATAAGTAAAATTACTTTCTACAATAGGCATACTTTTTTATGTTCAGAGACTGCTTTGAAAAATTGTTTCAAAGCATAAAAATGAAAGTGTACATGTCCAATTGTTTTTGCATAAAAAGTTTAATTTTGGACTTGAAACAATCTCTAACTAGGTAGGGCAGGGGTATCATTAAGTGCAATTCACAGAGGAAGAGAGGCTGAGGGAAATTTAAAAATCTGGTGATATATTTATGATTAATGAATTAAGATGCTGGCTTAATGTCCTGCGTTTCTGGGCCAGGGATTTGGCTCAGTGGTATAAGCACCTGCCTGGCAAGCATGAGGTCATGAGTTTGATCCTCTGTACAAAAAAGAAGTCCTGTATTTCCATCCCAGTACATTCTTAGTTTTCCTATAATGCCTTTATTGAAAATCTATATTGTTTTGCTCAACAAGTTTAGAAATACATCAAGTAGAAAATTACAAAATTACTTCTCCTTTTTATGACTAGGACTCTTTAAAGTTTATGAACAGGGCCAGGGCTCAAGTGCTTGCCTGGTAGGCATGAGGTTGTGAGTTCGATCCCCAGGACCAAAAGAAAATAAAGTTTATGTACATTTTATTATAGCTTATTCCTACCACTTTTTTGTTTTGTTTTGGTTTTTTGAGAGTCTCGCTATGTAGCTCAGTTTGGCCTTGAACTTGTGGCAATCTTCCTGCCTCAGCCTCCTAAGTTAGGATTACAGGTTTGTGCCATCACGCCCCACCAATTACAGTAAATTTTATCTTAGGCTCATATTCTATTAAAGTACCCTTAGCAACTCAGGTCCTGGTCTGTTCCAGCCAGGCCCCTGTCTCCCTCCATCCCATGCTACCTTCTTGATGCTCCTTTTGGTCCTTAGACCCCATCCTCTCCGCTCTGTTTTGATGATTTCTGCATCCGGGTAGAGTCTCTTTGTAAAGCACTGGTTCTGACAACGGTCTCCAGCTGGGCACACCTGCGGGTGACACTCGTATTGCAACATTCTGTTCAGACACTCTGATTCCAAGCCACAAGGGTTCTCGTCGGCAGGCTTGCAGTTACAGCGGGGGATCTCGGACAGGTCAGCAACATGGATCTGTACCTTTCCTATGACTTTGTTAGCCTGGGAAACAACATTACAAATGAGAAGGGCAAGGTAAGTACACTGCTAGCAACTTGAACACGAACACTGACACCACTGTAAACACTCACGTTATTTCAGCCTCTGCTAATGTCTTGGGGTTATTTCCCCAGAAATAAGCTAGTAACTACCTGTTCTAAGCTTGGTGTGTTTCTCTCTCCACTATTTGATGGAAATTTCCTAACTGAAAAATATGCTTGTTTGTGGGCTCTCTGAAATAAAGGGGTTAAATTACTCTATTTTCATTTGGCTGCAGGGTAACCTAGTGGAGTAAGAGTGGGATTTCACCAGAGCCATGTTGCCCCTAGGAATGAGGGAGTATTTCAGAGCCCTGTAACCAGGGCTTCAATTTAAGTGTCCAACAAACAACTGAAGACTTCACAGAAGAATAGTCAATAATTAGCAGAAGTTTCCACAAGTCAAAGAGATCCTTTAACTACCGAGAAAGTAATGCATTTCATCTTTCCTAGCAAATATCAGTGTTTTTGCGAGTAGACTCACTTTGATGTGTTTGTAAGGAGGAGGTTTTCTTGAATTTTTTTCAACCTCTAGTGCTTCTTTACTTTCTCTTTGTGCTTTCAATTCCTGGAAACGTTTTGCAGCTTCTTCCAGCGCTGACAGTAAGATCACAAACACAGTAAGACCACAAAAACAATGATCACAAAAACAGTAAGAAAACAAACAGCGATTAGACAGTAGGTTTACACCACCTTCCCAATGCCCTGCATTTGACCCAACACATTTTTTTTTTTTTCAAATTCTATCCTGCAGCCTACCTTTCACCACCAGGGTAGGCTAGAAAGAAACCAGGACTTAACTCAGGGGGTACTATGCTGTCTGCAAAAGGCTGCCAAGAGAGCAGAGACCCCCCGCTGCTGGCTTTGTACTAGGATTAAATCCACTTACCTTTATCCAGAAAGCCTCACTTCCAGGCAAGTGCAAATGGCCTGGGTTAAATGGGGGGGTGGGGGATTGCCAGCATAATCTTTATTTATAGGAAGACTGCTAAAGAAACTCCTTTCACATATATAGCAATTACATGAAAATACATTTTGAAGTTGGTTCTAATGCGATCAGAGGCTTACAGATGCAGGATCATGATGTCTGGAAACTCACTACCATCAAAACGCCATGTGAAGTGAGGAGATGCTACGAAATCCATACTGGAACCTTCGTTCTGAGTCACTCACCTTTCTTGAAGGTCTTGTTAATACTAGTCTGCCCCTCAGCAAAGCTTTTGTCTCCTTCCACATATGGGAACACTCTGCCTTGGTGCACCCAATAGTAGTCATGAGAACCAAAGAAGAACACGGGGAAGTCTCCTAAGTCATGTTTAAGGCTCTGGATGTTCAGTGGTACAGACCTGGGATTGCAGATCTCTGCTGGCCACCATCTGAAAACAAAGTCAAAGTTAGACTAAGAAAATGGAAAATCATGCTATTTTTTTTAAATAATTTTTTTTTTTTTGGCGCCAGGGATCGAACTCATGACCTAGCACTTGCCAGGCAGGTGCTTATGCCACTGAGCTAAATTCCCAGCCCAAATCATGCTATTTTATACAAAGCCAGGCAAGGAAAGAATCTTACAGTTTGCAATTTTCATTCAGATCCTAAGAACACAAAATATTTTACCTTTAATTCACCCAAACCACACCTCATTTGAAAACATACTAATAATTAATAACATTAATTTTTTTTTGAGACAGTCTTGCTCAGGTTGGCTTTGATCTCACTATGTTGCCCAAGATGGCCTCAAAACTTGCGATGATCCTCCTGCCTCAGATTCCAAAGTCTGGGATTATAGGTATGCACCACCATGTCAGGTTTTAGTTTATTAAAAATCAACAATAACAGACTAAATAATGCAGTCCATGACCTAGCTTATTTCTTTAAAAAAATATTTGACATTATAAAATACATACCATGAAAATGTTATAAAGCATAACTCAGTAACACTGAATCCACCACACAAGTGTAATGTCATTAGTACTATTCCAAACCAATTTTTATCCTAGAAAAATCATGTTTTTCTCCTATAAATGGACATACTTAAACCTTTGAAGGTATAAAAGATTATCTCTGAAGGCATTAGAGTTCATTTCTAATAAAGGGAATCATTCTGAGAATAAACTGCTACCATAGTAAAGGATGACGTTTCTCTTGCAAATCAGTGTTTTCTGAGTCTATAATTAACCAGGGCAAATAGCCCTTGGTCATTTTTTTTTTGTACCGGGGATTGAACTCACAACCTCATGCTTGCCAGGCAGGTGCTTTATGCCACTGAGTTAAATCCCCAGCTCCACCTCTTGGTCAAGATTTCAGATTTCATTGGCTGATTTCCGAATCTAATTTTCTTAGATTATAATAAGCATGGGATGCAGGCAGAGTAAAAACATAAACCATGTTAGGTGTCATGGTTTATGTCGGTGGCCCCCAGGCCTCATAGGTTTGCATTGTGCATTTGTGTTTGGCTCATTGTCTAGCGCATTATATGCTGGCTCTACCTCTAGGTTTCTGCCTTGCGGTTTGCAGCTGTCATGAACTGCAGCCCTGGCAAGCCACCCTGCCTTGGAGCCAACTGAGTATGGATTGAAACCTCCAAAAACTTTAAGAAATAAACCTTTCCCTTCACAACTTTGGGCATCAGCGACAACTAAAAAATAACTAAGACATTAAGCCACAAAACTGAATGGTACACCAATCAGTAAATGAAACTATCTGTAAGGAATGTGTTACAGTTTCCAGCAACTGGACAAGTCAGGGACAGAACACTGAAGCTTTCCAAAGATGAAAAAACAAGGCTACAATCAGTGATCCTCATGTGGGCTTTTACTGTATACAAAATCATCAAAATAAAAAGTAAACATACATAAACTTGAATTTATTCAATCTCTTACTTTATATATGCCTAATAAAGTCATTTCTCTTATTTAATTTACTTTACTACATGTCTGCAGTGCATAATGACCACACTCATTGCAGAGAGTTGGTACCCGCATGCAATACATTTCAATTTTTTTTCCTTTCCCTAAAACCATTTCTTTACCAAATCATCATACTAGTTAGGTGATAAATGACCTGGTTGTATGCCCAGATTTATGTGGCAGAACGTTTTTTGAGATGGTCTCACTATCTAGCCCAGGCTGGCCTCAAACTTGTGGTGATCCTCCAGCCTCAGCCTCCGAGTACTGGAATTACAGGAGTGAGTCACCACCCGGGCCTGTATTCAAACTATCAATTTTTTTGGTACTAGGTTTCTTGTTATATATATTTTTAAAAGGGATACCTTAAAAAACATGCCAAAAAAGGGAAGGGAATCAAGGGCTGGACTCTCAATGTGCTAGTTATACACACACACTAACAAGGAAAATGGGCTGAAAGAAAGTGAGCTCAATCTTAATGCCTCACTTACAGTTAAAAATGAAGTTTTTAAATTAAAGAAGGAAAAAAAATAAAAAAATAAATTAAAGAAGGAAAGCAGCATGAGGCAGAGAAGACAACACAGCTCTTATAACTACAACAACAAAAAATCAATATAGTTGAAATTGTATAGAAATATATTTTGCTCAGGATTCTAATTGAAAAGCACCAACTCTGAGGTAATACCCTAATACCTATTTTCTTCAAAAATTATAAATATACGTTTTAAAATGTGGAGTTTTAAAAATGTATTGTTCAATAGAGCCTTGGTAAAAAGTTGTAAAAGGAAATGTAAAGACTTTTTGTAGTAATCTCTCTAAATTATAAAAAAAAACTCTTTCTTCATACATCATTTGGGGCTTCCAGCTAGACCAAAATAGGCCAGAATCAGAGGCAAAGAGAGCTATCCTGGCTAGGATAGAAACTCTGGACTCTATCAGAAGTCAGAAATCAATATAAATCCAATGAACACACAAAGTTAACTATTACTGCCACTGTCCCCATAAAACCCTTTATTCCACCTAGGTCAGCAGCACAAAGTAATGTTCAGAACCTAAAAACAACAGTTAACCAACCAATCTCAAAGACAAAGAAGATGCCCAACAAGGACCTAACCTTCCCAGCCCCAACGCCACACTGAGCCAGCTCTGTCTCTCTGGAAGGAGGCAGGTCTTGCAGGCCTCGTTGAAGACCAGCTATGAGCAATGATGGACATTTCCCTTTGAAGTTGGAAAACTTGCCTGTAATTTCCCAGTTTGACCCAAACAATCTGCTTGTAATGCAGTTTCTTGCCAGCTTTACAGTCATTACAATTCCAGCAGCCTTCTGGCGTATCGATGTTCAGACATTCTGGGTGGAAAGAAGCCGGGCACGACTCACAGCACAGTAATCTTCCACCTTGAAACAAAGAAGAGTCTTAGTAACTGAGAAAAGAGGACATAAAATAAAAAAAGGGAAAGTTGTATTTCAAATGCACTGAATTTGACTCAAATTGGGGGAAATTAATAAAGAGATTGAGTCATATCCATAGTACTGAATTAAAATAGAATACAAGTGAAATATTTAGCTATATTTTGGGGCTTTAGTAGCTATAAACAGAGCTTTTTGAGTACTACCAAAACAGTCTTGTAAAATGTGGACTATTTGTATCAGTTCAGCAAGTAGCTAAAAACTGTTAATGTGTAACAAGATGGATGCATAAAATCTTTACATTGAGCCAGGTGGTGGATGACTATAATCCCAGCACTTGGGAAGCTGAGGCAGGAGGACTGATGCAAATTCAGGGCCAACCTGGGCTACATAGTGAACTCAAGGCCAGCCTGAACTACATAGCAAAACCCTGTATTGAAAAAACAAAACAAAACAAATCAACCCCCTCCAAAAAACCAAAAAGCAACAACAAAATATTTTTACATTGAGTAGATTATTTTTCAAGGAAATAGCAATTTTCCTTTCTTATTTAGAGGTAAAAAAGAAAACAATAGTCATCCTTGTATTTTAATCCACTGTCAACAGTTAACTAAATCTGTTATAATAAAATTTACAAGAATGAAAATAGCCAATAGATTCATTGGTACTATTTCTCCCTACGAAAGAATACAAAAAAGCAAAAAGGAACATAGATTCACAATCTAGTAATTATAGTATCATTACTTTTTCAGTGAAAGGACAGTCAAACAGGCTATACAACAGTGGTATGCAACTTTTCCTCTCATGAACCCACACGTTGTCAAACACTGTATCAACCCCCCTCCTATTTTGTTAGTCAAAGAAATATGTACCTGTCAATCAAAGATTCTGATCCAACAACAAAACAATGAGTACATTGTATCATTAAAATTAGAGCCCAATATAAAGAAACTCATTTTACACAAATGTGATTGTTAGATCTTCCCAAAAATTCAAATTTCTGACTTAATATCAAGAACTACTGCTTTATAGCACAAAAGGAAATAATAATCAATGTACAATGAAGTACTATATGCAAGATTATCTACCCAAGTTCCCTGTCTAAACCTTCTTCTTTTAAATACACAAAATAATCTTAGGATTAAGGCAAAACAAGTGTCACAAACAAAATAGTATTTTTAACTGTAAAGAAATAGCAGGTTTTTGGGAGAGGAGTGGGGAGGATCAGATAAATTTCAACAAAGTTAACTTGCAAGATGAACATAATAACATTTATTTCATCTTCCTGTTGGAAAACCAGGCCCACAAGTATATTGAGATTTAGGGTCTCATAAGCAAAGATTAAGAGCCCTCTATACAACTTGACCAAATTACATGCTCTAACCTTTGGAGGGTTTGCTATCAATTTTCCAGAAAATCTTGTGTTTCTGTAGACTTTCAAAGTTCTAACTTATTAACATGAAAACAAAAAGAGAAAAATCCATATACATCCAGTGATGAATTTTATTACTATATTTCCTCTGCTTAAAAGCTTATACTTCAATCACTAGCAATTTTCCTTTGACTGCACATACAAATATGGATTTAATAGGTTCAATTCTCTAGCCCTAAGATTAGCTGCCCGAATACTGTAAGCTTAGGTCAGGGATTCTCTGTTAAAGTGAGATTATTTATTTTTTCATTGGAAAGGAATGACCAAAGAGAAAACAATCTTCACAAAGAGTTTTAGAGGACATGTGATTATAAGCAATGATGTGGAAAAGTCGGGTCATTTTTAATTATTGAATGGTTATAAATTTAAGTCTTGTTTCAGAGGAAATGCAGAGCCAAATCACCTGTGAAAATCGTCAGGAAAGACATGCTGAAAATATGTAGGGGTATACAAAATTAAAGTATGGTGATTTTGCCTTGGTGTTATGCAAGAAACTATTTTAGTATGCAAGAGAACATATGGTTCAAGGTAGGTAGAGGGCTCAAAATAATATCAATTTATATCAAGGTTAATATTGATTGCTGAAAACAAAGCAACAATTTAACCTTTGGAGGGTCTGCTATCAATTTTTCAGAAGATCTTTCCTTCCTGTAGATTTTATAAAGGTGCCAGCAGGAAAACAAAGCCTTTCCTAAAATGTCTCAGCTAGAATAGCTTCATTGCATTATGGAATAAGTCAGACCGACGTCCATTTTTGGAAGCAGGTGGCATCACAAGGTGATCAAATCACCAATTTGAATTCAAAGGAAAACAAAAAATGTCAATACTTTTTACAGTGTTTCTAAATTAGTTATACTTCAAATCATGAGATGCCATTTCAAGTATCTGACAAAGAGCAAAGATGTATCAAACAAGCAATGCAAAGAATGAAAAAAATTCAAAATACCTAGTATGTATACATGATTTACTAAGAATGAATCTTTCCTCTGATTCTGAACCTGGCCCTCAGATCATAATGGGAACGAATGCAGAAGAAAGCCTTACCTTCCATGCTCATTGAATTTTTCCTTCTGTGATAACTCAACATTTTAAAAAACATTTTTTGAAGCAGGGTCTTGCTATATAGTCCAGGCTAGTCTTGAATTCACTATGTAGCTCAGGCTTGCTTCGAACTTGTGGCAATCCTCTTGCCTCAACCTCCCCAGTGCTGGGATTACAGGCATGCACTACCACGCCCAACTCAAATAACATATTATCATTAAGTCACTTTCACCTCTTTAGTACAAATATGTTATGGAAAGCTAAGTAAGATAAAGTTCTCTTCTACAGACAAAATTACTTCAGAAAAAAGTACATATATAGACACACACATACATTTAGCTCTTATCTCTCTTTGGGTAAATTCTCCATCAGCAATTCAGCTGGGCTGCCTTTCCACAGCCAGAGTTTGGAGGATTCCCCACATCCCTGCTTTCTAGTCAAAATCTCCTAAGGTAAGGGCAGCTAGTTTTTATAGGATCTTAAGCCATTTAAGAAACAAAGTGATAGAATATATTCTAAAATTAAACTTTTAAGTATTACAAAATATTGGTTTCCTTCTTTTAGTAACATTATTTTATGGTTATCAATTATAACTTATCTATTTAATTCTAACACGGATGATAGTTTTACTTCAGACAAAAGTTCCTGTCTTTTTGAGACAGGGTCTTGCTATGTGATTCAGGCTGGCCTTCAACTCACTTTGTAGCCCAGGCTGGCCTCGAAATCACAGTGATTCTCCCTGCGTAATACCCCTGAGTGCCAGGGTTACAGGCACGCACCACCATGCCAAGTTTTAAAGTATTTTTTTAAATATTCAACAAGATCCTAGTTTTTCTATGATTTTAATAACCCAAATATATGGAATATGTGAAAACTTACTCAAGGAGAAAAGTAAAAATTTGTAACAATGGAATTATTTTAAGCCCTTTTGATAATTTTGCAGCCATAAGAAAACATTAGTCACAACCACCAAGGCAAAATTTACCAAAAGCAACAGATGGTGCTCAATAGCCATATACTTCCCCCCTTGATTAGAGAGAAAAATAAGAAATGCAAAAATAAAAGCAAGGATAAACTATTTCAATTATTACCTTTCTCACATTTCTTTTTGGAAGCTGACGAAGAAGGAATCATAGGTAATTTCATCAACTCAGCACGATTTGATTCATTCAGTAGGTAGTGGGACTTATAGGCATAGGAACTGAACATGGGGTCTGAATGGTCCTGAACTATCAGCCCTATACGAAACAAACAGAAAGAGATGAGCTGCAATGAAACTACCCATGATTCCATGAGGTAAAAAATAAACCAACACCTATAATGCAGTTGTGCCTTAAAATTGGGTGTAGGGACAAGTAAGAAGAAAAAGAAAAATATGACCAAAAAGCTTTCTATAATTATTAAAGGGAAGGTGAACTACTTGATTCCTTGTCCCTAACAGAAACATCTACGCTGCAGAAGAAAATTCCAAATAACCTGAAGATACAGAAGACATTTCACATATTGAAAACTCCCTACGATAAACAAAGCTGTATTCCATAACATTTAGCAGTACTATGATGACAATCCAGCAAACAAACTTATTTAATTATCTAGAAGTAAGACTCATAGCATAGGCTCTAATCTCTCTACCCTGTATAAAACAGAACTTGAAGGCAGAACTGAATCTCTTTTCCTCTATTCGTATCTTGAGATATACTCCAATTCTAGCTTTCTCTGCCAGGTAATGAAACTCTTCTCTGTTGACACAGTAGATGACTTTAATGGAGCCATAGTTTCCTGAACTTCACAAAATATGAAGCATTTAAATTCTTTCCCTGTCACAACATAAAGTGATTACGAACTTAAAAGGTTTACAGAAGTAGTCCCTTTGATCTACCAGTACAGCTGCCCTATTTGGAGAACACAAGATCTGCTGTGACACCCGTGGGAACCCCTTCTCTTCTCCTCTCCCTTTTCCCTTACCTGAGTTCATAATTCACCTCTAAGTCACTTCCTGACCTGTGACTACAGACCAGAGGAAACCTCTCTATCTTGATTACTAGCCAGTTTACAATGATCTAGGACTTTACACACAAATCACAACAGCAATTTCATTTAGAGGTCATTTTGGGGGATGGCAAGAGTTTGGTTTTAAAAGGGTTACCATTTACTTTCTCCTGTGGGTCTTATGTGATACTTCCCCTCCACTGAGGACAGTCAAGCAATGTCTCTGACCAGATGACAGAATGGGATTTAGAATTGCTGATAATGTAAGAAACTTATCAAAGTGATCTAATGTCAAACTGATTACATAGATTGTATAGAAGGAGGTGGTGTAACGTAAAAAAGTTACAGGCCTTGAAGTAAGAAAAACCGGAACAATTGCAGGTCCTTCCAAGTCACAGCTTGTGTGACCTCAAGTAAATATTTACCATGAGCTTTGGTGTGCTTGTCCATATAAAATGAGAATATAACCTCTGGAGACAGTTCTTTCAAACAGTATCCAGTAGAGTTTAATTTATATATGCAAAATAGGTTGCTGTTAAAATAAAAACTCTAATGTATGGCTGGGGCCCCATTTTAAATTATGATTACACAGAAAGGTACAGAATGTTAATTAACCTGTACTATCTGGGTGGTATAAAAGATAAAGAATACAAACTAAACTGACAAATGTCTCACCTCCTACTGGTGCTTTAAATTGGCTCTGTGTGTGTGTGTGACAGAAAGAGAGAGAGAGAGAGAAAGAGAGAGAGAGAGAGAGAGAGTGAGCATAAGAGAGACAGCACCTAAACTTTATTGTTTTTTGGTTTGTTTTTTGATCTTTTTTTTTGGGGGGGGGTCTTTTTGAGACAGGGTCTCACTATGTGGCTTAGGTTGGCCTTCAACTCACTTTGTAGCCCAGGCTGACTTTGAATCTGCAGGGATCCTCCTGCTTCAGCCTTTCGAGTCCTGGGATTATATGAATGTACCACCATACATGGCTGTCCCTAAACTTTAAAAACCAAAAGTCGTTTTTAGATATTTTGACCTAAGAAGTTTAATGACTTTAAATACCCAATAACCAAGAACTAAGAAAAGTAACTTATGAGAAGGAAAAAAAAAAAAATTCTGTATGAGGAAAAAAACAAGCTAAGATTTCTAAGTCTGAGTACCTCTTTTCTATATTAGGGTTAGGTCTCTCAGCCTGGGCAACGGTGAGATCTGCATTTTAAATAAATAAATAGGGCTAAAGATGTTCCTTAGCATTCCCTAGATTTAACCCTCAATTCCTCCAACCAAAGGGGATCTCAATACTTATTGAAGGACACATACTATTTACTTTCAAAAGACTGGATTTAAACCAGGTACCCTGGCACACATCTGTGATCCCAACACTCGGGAGGCTGAGGAAAGAGGACTGCCATGAGTTTGAGGCCAGTCTGAGTTACATAGTGACTTCAAGGCCAACCTGAATTACAGAGAAACGGCCTGCTTCCGAAAAAACAAAAACAAAACTTGATTCAAACTTTCTCAAATGCTGGGTGAGGTGGCACACACCTGTAATCCAACCACTTAAGAGGCTGAAGCAGGAAGATCATCATGAGTTTGAGTCATCCTGGGTTACATAAGCAAGTTCTAGGCCAGTTTGCTGTATATAGTGAGACCTTGTCTCAAAAAAAACAAAATAAAACAAAACAATACAAAATAAAATATCTCAATCCTAGCATCTGATATACTTAGAATAAATTTTTACCAAATACTAGAAAGGAAAATAAAGGTTTCTGCTTATTTCAGTAAGTTTCACAGTTAAAATGTTTGTGAATTGCCAGACTGAGGTGGGAGGGTCACTGTGAGTTTGAGGCCAGACTGTGCTACATAGTGAGTTCAAGGCCAGCCTGGACTGCGTTGAGAGACCCTGTCTTTAAAAAAAAAAAAAAAAAAAAAAGGGGGTGACTTAATAAACTTCCTTAAGTAGGCATTTAAATACAGTAAATCTTTCAGAATATTGTCAAATTGACAAGATACAAATACAGATTGTTTTTAAAACATGGGATTTCCCCATTTACATTGTTCCCAGACTTATAATCAACAGATTTAGGTTAAATTTAACAAAATGACTAAGTTTCATTTAGAGAACCACTTTTTATCTATTCCTACATTGAAATACCTATTTTTAAAAGTTCCCAATTACTGAATAAAATATAAAATAAAATACTGATTAACATGCTGATGGCACTGAATTTAGAATGTATCCCCCAAAATAGGCCAATACAGTAATTATAAACTTAAGGTTCACAATATTCACTACATTATTTTTTTAAAAATCAAAACAAAACGAAAATGTTGGCTAGGTTATATGTGCTTGTACATTGCCAGTATAAGTGCCTACGAATGGTAGAAAGGGTTTGCAAAATGGTAAGAAGTTGTATGTGTGGTCCTGGGAATCGAACTCAGGACCATGTGCTTGCCATGCAGGTGCTGTACTGCTTAGCCATACCTTTGGTCCCAATAAGAAGCTTTATTTTAGCTACTATTACTCATCTGTCTAAAAGTCTCTAAAGCTAGACATTTAATCGATAATTCAGTAATTCTTTTCTATCATTACTTTCTTTGGAAGGTAGGGTGGGAAGGCACTAGAGGTGGCTTGCTATTTATTATTTACTTATATGATTATTTGCCTGTACAAACCCTTTCTGTTACAGTCTGATGTGGCACATTCCTCCGTCCCCCTTACGGGCCTCAGAGCAGGACACAATGCTGCTCTGCTGTAGACAGACAAAGCTGCCCATTTGAGTGGCAGCCATGGGCCCAGGGGGCTGTTACACAGAAGACTGCCATTTATTCAATCTTCTACTGCTCATCTTGTCTAAGCTATTTGTTAAAAAACAAGAAATATAGGGCTGAGGATTTAGCTCAGTGGCATAAGTGCCTGCCTTGCAAGCGCACGGTGATGAGTTCGATCCCTGGTGCCAATTATAAAAACAAATGAAATACAAAAGCAAAACACTCACTGTTTGTTTTTTTTTTTTTTTTTTTTTGTCTTTTTCATTTTTATCGGTACCAGGGATCGAACTCATGACCGCCTGCTTGCAAGGCAGGTGCTTATGCCGCTGAGCTAAATCCCCAGCCCCAACACTCACTGTTTGAATGTCCACTTTGTATGACTTAATTTTGCAACTTAAACAACTATTTCTAAGATGACAGTATGTAATTTGTCAACTAGTGATTTCTTAGTGTTTTCTTTTAAATTCTGTATTATTTCTATCCTTTTTCTGTTTTGTTTTTTCTTTAAATAAAATTTTTTTTAAAATGTAAAAAAAGAAAGCAAAACAACCTAAGATCTGAACTCTAAAAACATTTTTATAGTACTTTTGTCAAATTTACTGTCTCCTGAAGCAAAAAATGAATAAAAAAGGCTTCATAGACTATATACTATCGTCTATAACACAAAAGGCTTGATTATGCCTTAGTGTCTTTCAAATACTTTATAACAATGTAAGTTCAGGAAACTTAGTACTTATATTAAAGATGAAACAAACCAGTATTTGGAGATAATAGTTGGCCTCTATAATGCTTATTAATTACCAAAAAACCTCCAAAGTTTCTTCATCATATAACCCAGGTCAAGCTGGACACTGCACCATAGCCAGCTAGACATCCTATTTTATATGTACCACACACTCTCCTTTATGGCCAGCCCTCAGGGGTAGGGTATCATCTCAGCTGATCAGCATTTTGGTGGATTAAGTATCAACTGCTGGCAAGTAAGCACCCTGCCGGCTTTTCATTAAACGCTACACATGTTACCTTGGGTTGTGGCAGGCCATCTCAAGGCCAGACCAAAGTATTACGAAGTACAACACAAACAATCAAAAAATGAATATACTGATCTTGTCTTCTATGTGAAATCTCAAATTTTTTTTTTTTTGTTGTCTTTTTAAGACAAGGTCTCATTATGCAGTTCAGGCTGGCCTTAGGCTCACTTTATAATCCAGGCCGGTCTCAAACTTGTAATGATCTGCCTGCCTCAGCTTCCCAAGTACTTGGATTACAGGAGTGTGCCACCACACCTGGCTTGAAATCTCAATCAGTTTGAAAGTTCTGGATCAATGGCACGACATGGGAAGGATCTACTTCAAACAGAAAAACTTTGTAAAAGGGAATAGCTTAATCTTTTAACAGAAAATTAGTCAAACAGAGAAACAAAGCATTTATCTATAGTATAGTATAGTATAGTATAGTATAGTATAGTATAGTATAGCATTTATCTATTATACATTTTTAAATGCAGATTTTAGCCAGGCGTGGTGTCACATGCCTATAATCCCAGCACTAGGGAGGTTTAGGCAAGGATAATTATTGAGTTTGAGACCAGCCTGGGCTACAAAGTGAGTTTAAGGCCAGAGTGAACTGCATAGCAAGACCCTATCTTAAAAAGACCAAAAAAAGAGAGCAGATTTTAGCTTAGCTTATAAAACAACTAATACTGTCTAACATTATGAAAGGGACTAGGTGCTAGAAAAGGTGATTTTGGCCTGGGGATATAGCTCAGCAGCATTTGCACATGCTGGCAAAAGGTCTTGAGTTCAATTTCCGGTACCCTAAATAAATATGTAGATAAATAAATAATAATTTCTATCAGGAGTACAATAAAAGGAAATTCAGCTCTAGATAGGAGATTGTACTAAAAGGCTTGGGTTCTCTCCTAAAGCTAAATTTCACCTTAATAGAGAAATCTAATAAAGAAATGAAAAGAAAGGATTGACACTCACCTCTGGCACAAACGAAACAAAAGCCTACATTTACAGCAGCAGCAGAATTATTGCTCCGCTTAGAATGGTCACTACAGATGAGAATATAGGAGGACACAAACATGCTTCCTGCAGCAATACAAGCATCTGCAGAGTGATAGGCAACGGGACACCTCAAACATCTCATCATGCGTCCTGTTTAAAGAAGAGACAAAAAGGAATTTGCACAATAAGGTATCAGCTGGATATGAGACTTCTGCAGTTTGGTTTTTCTGTTTTTATGTGACACTAATTACAGCAACAGTGAAACACTTTTTAATTCACTAGGCTGGCTCTGTCATTCCTATACTGTACAATTTTTAATACAAGCCTAAAAATCATTTAGAGGGCCGGGTATGGTGGTACATGGCTGTAATCCCAATACTTAAGAGGCTAAGGCAGGAGGATCACCATGAATTCGAGGCTAGTCTGGACTATAGAGTGAGACCGTCTCAAAATAATAATAACAATAATTTTAGATATTGTGCAAAGAAAACATTCTAATGCTGAAGGGATAATGATATCCCCAATATATCATATGCTTAAGGAATTTTCCATATGTAGTTTGGAATACACAGAATTTTACTCTCATAGTCTGAATTTGCAATTTAATTTCTACTTAACATGCTGTCTACTGGGGCTGAACTTTTAGACCTAGAAAAAAGAGAGATGTCCAGTTATTTATATTAATGTGCCTAACATATTATTTGTCACTGTACTCAAAGTATCACTGTGCCCTTCTTTAGGTGTATTACCTTTACTTGCTTTGTGGATATCTTTCTCCATAGAGCAGGCAGAGCAGCAGTGCTGGGGACAGCGGAATCCCTTTGATTCAAAGATGGCAGTGGAGAATTTTCGGACACAGGCTTCATGATAAAACTTTCCACAAGCACCAACAGAACAACGCTTCACATCTTCACCAGGCACTTTACATGAAAAACATGGATGCTGCCCTGGAAGATGGTGAGAAACAGAGATTATATGAATATGAAAGCATATTCCCTTTAGACAGAAGCAGTTACAGACATCAAAGAGTTGCTCTGGAAAGAGACTCTACTATTAGGTGTAAGAATTTAACACACAAGAGCCAGGTGTGGTGGTGCATGGCTGTAATCCCAGCACGTAAGAGGCTAAAACGTGGCTCACAGTTTGCAGAGGTTTCAGTCCAAAATAGGCTGGCTCCAAGGCAGGGTGGCATGGCAGACAAACACTGCAAAGAAACAGTTCACTGTGGGTAGAAGGCAGCAAAGCAAGCAAGGGTCCTTAGCAATATTTTTCTGACTCTTTTATGCTATATCCAGGCTACTGGGATTAGGGAAAGCAGTGTCAAACCAGCAAGTAGACTGATTTAGTAATCACATACCCTTAATCCCAGGATCGCATACCCTTAGATACAGTCACCTCTGAAAAATCTAGACCTATGACTGCATGAGGCTTTGGGGGGACATCTAGACACAAACTGTAATACCAAAACAAAACAAAAAACCAAACAAACAAACAAAAAAGAATTTAACATAGAAAAAGTACCATTAAAAATATATGACTAAGCCGAGCATGATGCTTCACGCCTGTAATCCCAGCACTGAGGAGGCTAAGGCAGAAGGATGGTTGTGAGTTTAAGACCAGCCTGGGCTACAAAGTGAGCTCAAGGCCAGTTTGAATTGCACAGTGAGGCCCTGACTAAAAAAAAATTGCATAGACTTCCGGGAAAACATGGCGGACAGATAACAGCAGCTATGGAGGCTCTCTGAAAGACTCGGCTCATAATTCAGGAATGGTGTGGAGTAAGGAGTCATAAGCAGGTGGAGATATGCTCTGCTGACCCAGGAACGAACTGGGCTGAGAGAACCAACTTGGAATGCAGTCCTGGTGCTAAAACAGGAACAGAAAAGCCTCAGTGTGGAGGCTGGAGCCCACGCCATTGGACGCCTGGATTTGGGTTTCCCGCCACATGGCGGCTGTATCTACATCGGCTCGGCAGGGAGAGAGACGCGCAGAAGCTCTGAGAACGGGAATCAGTGAACGGAGTTGAGAGCGGGACGGGCGTGGAGCCGTGCACTGACTTGTGGTGAGGTGAGTGAGAGAAACTGACACACTACCACAGTTTGACTCCAGCGGAGGATATTCTAGGACTGGGCAGACTTGTGGGAACAGGGCGCTGTGGCGACTTCAGCCACGTATCCCTCTCTCAAGCGGGATTGAGAGTGCCTAGCCTACATGACGCTGCTGGTGGACCCAGTAGGCTAGCCCAACCCAGATCCCAGAGCCTGAGGGTGGCCTGGAGGGGCAAGCCCTGCGTAGGCTGCCTGATCTGCAACTTCCTGGTGTGCTTCGGTGGGTGGGAACACCTAGCCGGTGCAATTCGATCAGGCTGTGGCTGACAGGGAGGGAAGCTGGGCCTCCTATATAAGCTTGCATATATAAGGAACAAAGAATATGGGAAGAGGCAGCAACAAGAAAGGCTCTTCGGCCCCCAATCCTGAGAAACAGGTAATAGCAGATACCGCACCAATAGACATAAAGCGCCATCTAGAAAGCCTCATAGATCAGTTCAGGAATGAAGTTATCAATGACCAGAAGCTAGAAGCAAGCAGAATAGTTAGAGAAACGCTAAGCACCACCCAAGAAAAAACAGATGGTGGAATGGAAGAACAGAAAAAGAGGGGAGAATTGTTTGATGGAGAAAATAGAGAAAGCATAGAATATGTGAAGCAGGTTCAAAGGGACTACCAGGAAACTAAAAAGTCTATCGAAAACTGGCATAACAGCTTGAAAGAAACTAAGGACAGACTATCTGAAATGGAGGGCAGATTTGTAATATGGGAGAATGAAATGAAAAACTTCTTAAAAATAACAAAGAAACAAACAGCAATAATACAAAGACAAGAAGATGATAAGAAGATCCTTAACTTAAGGATTAAGAACATAAAAGAAGAAGTAGGGACACAAACAAATGAACTACAAAAGCTACTCACAGAAATAATCCAGGAGAATTTTCCTAATTTAGCAAAAGGTAAAGATACTCAGATGTATGAGGCATACAGGACCCCAGCCACCTACAACCCAAACAGAGCAACACCCAGGCATATAATAATAAAAATTCCAGAAATTCAATACAAGAACAGAATATTAAAAGCTGTCAGAGACAAGAAACAGACCACTTACAAGGGAGCACCCATCAGAATTACAGCAGATTTCTCTGCACAAACCATCAAATCACGAAGAGCGTGGGGGGAAATAATTCAAGCTTTGAAAGATAATAATCTCCAGCCAAGATTGATATATCCTGCACAACTGTCCCTGGAAATTGATGGAAAAACAAGGTGCTTGCAGGATAAAGAGGAACTGGGGGAATTTGCAACCACCAATTCAACTCTACAGAGAGTACTGCAGGATATTCTAAAAAAAGAAAAATACAAAGAATCCAGAAATAGTGGTGGGGAGGCCACAATGAATGGAGCAGAGAACAAAATGAAGAAGACAAACTGACAACTAATGACAGGAAAAGAGCTCAACAGAAATGAGGCAGAGAAGATTGGATGATAGGAACAGCTATTTTGGAGAAAATGACGTCTTAATAGGTAATACTGATTTAGTATCATCTTGTTTTGAAGTCTCATCAAACTTTTGTTCTTCTGTCTCCATTGGTCTAAATAGGTTGTATCTTATTGGATTTTATTATGTACGATAGTATAAGCAAAAACTTTTAAAGACAAGGAGATTATACAGAAACCATTGTTCATTTTCTGTTAGTTGATTCTAAATACCCTGTAATGCTGTCATTCTCTTAAATGGTTTTACATTGTTTTGATATATTTAATGCTACAATATACGAAGTTGTACTCAGGATTTCAAGGAAAGAGACAATATGGTAACTACTTTTATGTCAGGATTATCTTGTGGTGAAACACTATTCTGCTTAAATGGTTACATTTTGATCTGCGCTGATTTGCTGTTATGCCCTCTTTTACCTCAATCTCCACTCCATTATTTACTTTTTTATTTTTATCCTTTTAATTAAGGGAAAAATAAATAAAAATAGCAGGATATATTATAGCAACCCACTTTGACTTTCCATTATCTTGATTTAAAGCCCTGTATTACTCTCACCATCTTGTTTTTGACTGATGTCCCCCTATTCTGCTTTGCTTGATAGTACCAGGTTCGAAAGTTTAGGCAACAGCTATGAAGATAGTGAGATTCATTATGACGCCCATTCTCGTTGACTTTTATCTACTTTTGAAGACCTGCAATGTCTCCAATGTTTTGGTTTTGTCGGTTTTGTTCTTTACTGTTTTGTTCAATTTTATTATAACTGATGATATAGGCAATTCTATTAGAGATAGCAGGAGGCATTATGTTAACCATTATTGATCACCTTGTATTATGCTTTTACATTATCTATTATGTCCACCCTTTTGATTTGATTGACTCTGTTGTTATGTCACATTTGGTTCTACTCCCTTCCAAAAAAGTAATAAGAACTGTGGGAGTAACAAAACCCAAAATGTGTAATTGTCATTGTACAAAAGAGAGGAAAAGAAAGTGCTCTAAATAATATAACTGCATGTATGTTTAAGTGTATAAGATAGAAAATGATATCACTGAGTTTTATTGGATCATTGAACATAACTGTTTGCAGTCTCACTGTTGGAATGTCCACTTTACAAGCTTTAACTTTGTGACTTGAACAATTATTTCTAAGATGACAATATGTAATCCATTAACTAGTGATTTCCTACTGTTTATTTTTTCTGTAAATCTGTATAACTTGTACCCATTCTCTGCTTTTTGTACCCTTTTTCTCCTTAAATAAAATTAAAAAAATAAAAAAATAAAAAAATTGCATACATGCATATGCATATATATGTAAATAAATTTACAATTATTTTGTAAATTTTGCTGGGAGAATTATTAATTTGAAGGTAAAGTATTAAAAACAATTTAGATCCCAGCACTCGGGAGGCTGAGGCAGGAGGATCATTGCAAGTTTGAGACCAGCCTGGGTTACAAAATGAGCCCAATGCCAGCCTAAACTGCATAGTGAAACCTTGTCTCAAAAAAATTAATTAATTAATTAACAAATTAATAAATTTAGATCTCCAAAACTAATTTAAAAAAAACCCACATGGATTTTTTTCCCCCTCAATATTTGGGAGCAGATATTAACAAAGTCCTCTCCCACATAAAACAAAATATACTCTTAGATAACTGTCGATGATTTACTTATGTAAAACAGACATAAAGAAAATAAGAAATCTGCCCACAGGAAAGACAACTGCTTTTACTGCTTTTAAAGAGAGCTGACAAAAATGGAAGCTTATAAGTAATGGAAGGCTATCTTCAAAGAGCTGAAAGAAAATAATTACCAGGGGAGGATATTTTTGTGACAATATTAAAAAATAAAGTGACACTCATGTTCACTAGGAAGGATAAACAAAACCTGGTTATGGTTTAGATGTAGAATGGCCCCAAAAGTTTCATGTGTTCAGAGATGGGACTTTTGAAAGGTGAATGGGTCAGTGTAGCACTATACTCATGGATAGGTTCATTGCTGGATCTGCTGTTAGGAACAGGGCCCTGGTAAGAAGAGGAGGGTCACTGAGGAATCATGCAGAAGCATCTATTCTGGTTCCTTTTTTCTCTGTTTCCTGGTTGCCATGAGGTAAGCAGCCATCTTTTTCCATGACCTCCCACCAAGTCATTCCAGCCTTGCAGCCTGCTTGCCAAGAACTGAACCCCCAATCTTGTTAAACCACAAAACCCTCTTCTCCTTTAAGATGTGAGCACTGGCTATTTTGTCCAGGGACAGGAAAGCTAATGCATAGTTTTTTGAGAAAATTAACAAAAGTAGTATCTATGACATGAGTAATAAAAAAAAAAAACACCACCAATATTATATTACAACATTAAAAAGATATTGAAACAATACTGCTGCATTTTTATTAATAAA